CTCAACCACTGAGCCATATCCCTAGCCGTATTTTTATTTTATTTAGAGACAGGATCTCACTGAGTTGCTTAGCACTTCACTTTTGCTGAGGCTGGCTTTGAACTCATGATCCTCCTGCCTCAGCCTTCTGAGCCGTCGGAATTATAGGCATGCTCCACTGCGCCTGGCTAGTTTGATTCTTATAGATATTGACCTACCATGATTTCTACCATGATTCATGAAATGTCTTGCTTTGTTTTGTTTTTACTATTTAGCACTAGATTATAGTACAGTGCTAGAAAAGACCTTCACGTCGTGATCTGGACAGTTAAGCAAAGCTCTACTGTTCCCATTGATCACATGGACTCCTACTAAAATTAGTATCCCATCCAGTTAGTGGGACCTGATTGTTTATTTCACACAAACTCTCTGGTGATGCTGATGCTGCAGGATCATGTATGGCATTTGGAGCAGAAAGATTTTAGAGGTCATTTTATGCAATTCCCCTTCTGAGGAAAATAACCTCCCTTTCTTCCATTTCTGCTTTCTGAGAAGCAGAAGAAAACAATTTTATCACATCTTGCATTTTGATAATATTATGGGTAGTAAACTTGAGCATGGATTTAAGCAGGAAATTGGCAATCTCCCTAAAAGATGGATTTAGGTCATTTTCTTGCAAAAAAAAAAGTGATTGTAGGTATACATTTCATATTTCAAAACATAAGAGTGTCAAGGGAATAAAGGGAGGCGAGATAAATACATACTTTGCTTTGCCCAATGTGGATATGTCCTAATTTCTTCGCTTTTCAATTATCAGTCCTCCTTTGCTGCTAAGCCTGCATCTAGAATATAGTCAAGATGATCTGTATTGTAATGACCCACTTACTGGGATCATGAGAGCCACCAACTCTGTTTTTCTGGTTAAGAGATTTACCWGTGCTGGTATCTGGTTTGAGAAGCGGGGGTGGTAGAACAAAGGGGAATGATCAGCTTGCTCCCATGCTCTGGTTAGCAATGAACACTGGAACGTGAACCTGATACAGAGCCCGTGGAGGGGCCTCAGGTGGCTGGAGCCTCTCAGCTGGTTGTCCCTAAGCATTTTAATCCATTAGCTGGGATGGAGCCCCAGGGGAGCCCTGTGCTGACCACAGACACTATGGAGTTTCACCACACACCATTTTCAGCACTGACTGAAAGATACAGCACATTTTCTATTCTTGAGATATTTTAGATTTTTTTCCCTCCTGATGGATTTTTCTCTGTAATCTTAATTAAGCCGTTTAAGCCATTCTTTCTTTGTCTTGTCCTTTCTCTTAGCCAATCTCCCTCCAACAAATTAAGGAAAAAGAATAGTTTGTACTTGGTTTCCTCTTTTTTTTTCTTTGTTACTAATTGAATTACTTTTTTCTTTAAAAATTACTTTTATGTAAGAAAAATGTTACAAGACAGCAAAAGTCCCCTCCGTCTTCCTTTACCTTCCCGTCACAGCAGTAACCCAGATCGTGGATGTTATGTGTATCATTTTTGTACATATTTCATCCCTTTAATATATACGGGTATATCCAACCCCACTGCTTTCTGTTTTATATTCTACATACATGGAACCACACTTATTGATTGGACTGGAATTGCACTGAATTTATAAATTAATTTTGGAAGATTTACCATCTTTATGATCGTGACACTTCACATTCTTGAACTTGGGCTCTGTCTCCATTAATTTAGGTCTTTTTTATGTTCATTGATAAAATTTTATGTTTTTTCCATAAAGGTCTAATAGGTCTTTTGTTACATTTATCCCTAGGCATCTTATTTTAAATTGCTATTGAAAACAGCACATCCATTTTTATTTTTTTTTATTTTTTATTTTTTTTAAGCACATCCATTTTTAAATGACAGATGTAACCTGATGTCCTTCCTAAAATAGTCCCTTAGTGTACTTGACTTTTTCCTGCTAGAATTTACCATCGCCTCATTGTATATGTATCTTTCCTCCTACCTAGAATAAGCTCCCTAAAAAAGAGGCACAATGTCTAATTTACTTTGTTATTCTGTCCCTAATCCCCATGTCCCCATGACAATATCGGGCAATATAGCAGTCAAAATGTGTATGAGTGTGTGTGTGTGTGTGTGTGTGTGTGTGTGTATGAGAGAGAGAGAGAGAGAGAGAGAGAGAGAGATTTTATTTAATTAATTTTATTTTATTTTTTACACAAATGGAGCACTTTTCATTTCTCTGATTGTTCATGATATAGAGTCACACCATTTGTGCAATCATACCCATACATTCCACCATCTTCCCCCATACACACACCCTCTCCCCTCCCTTCTCTTCCCTCTGCTCAAAGTTCCTCCATTCTCCCCCACCCCACCCCCATTATGGATCAGCATGCACTTATCAGAGAAAACGTTTGGCTTTTGGATTTGAGGGATTGGCTTACTTCTCTTAGCATGATACTCTCCAACTCTGCCCATTTACCTGTAAGTGCCATAATTTCATACTTCTTTAAGGCTGAATAATATTCCATTATGTATATATACCACAGTTTATTTGTCCATTCATCTATTGAAGGGCATCTAGGCTATTTCCACAGTTTAGCTACTGTGACTTGAGCTGCTATAAACATTGAGGTGGCTACATCACTGTAGCATGCTGATCTCAAGTCCTTTGGGTATAGACCAAGGAGTGGGATAGTTGGGTCAAATGGTGGCTCCTTTCCAAGTTTTCTAAGGAATCTTCATGCTACTTCCCAAAGTGGTTGCACCATTTTGCAATCCCACCAGCAATGAATCAGTGTACCTTTTCCCCCATATCCTTACGAGAACTTAGTGTTGCTTGAATTTTTGATAATTGCCATTCTGACTAAAGTGAGATGAAATCTTAGAGTACTTTTGATTTGCATTTCTCTAATGCTAGAGATGTTGAACATTTTTTWAAAAAAATTGGTTGATCTGCTCATTTCCTTAGCCCATTTATTGATTATTAGTTTTTTTGGTGTAAAGTTTTTTGAATTCTTTATATATCCTRGAGATTAGTGCTCTGTCTGATGTGCATTTGGTAAAAATTTGCTCCCATTCTGTAGGCTCTCTCTTCACTTCATTGATTGTTTCTTTTGCTAAGAAGAAACTTTTCAGTTTGAATCCATCCAATTTATTTATTATATCTTTAATTAATTWATTTATTTTTATGTGGTGCTAAGGATTGAACCCAGGGCCTCRCCTGTGCTAGGCAAGCACTCTACTGCTAAGCCACAACCCCAGCCCCTCATTGAATTTATTTATTGATTCTTGATTTTATTTCTTGTGCTTTAGGAGTCTTGTTAAGGAAGTCAGGTCCTAAGCTGACATGATAAAGATCTGGGCCTGCTTTTTCTTCTATTAGGTGCAGAGTCTCTGGTCTAATTCCTAGGTCCTTGATCCACTGTGAGTTGGGTTTTGGGCAGGGTGAGAGATAGAGGTTTAATTTCGTTTTGCTGCATATGGATTTCCAGTTTTCCCTGCACCATTTGTTGAAGAGGCTATCTTTTCTCCAATGTATGTTTTTTCATTTCTAGATGCCCTTTGTCTAGTATGAGATAACTGAACTATATTTATATGGGTTTGTCTTGGTGTCCTCTACTCTGTACCATTGATCTATATGTCTGCTTCATTGCCAATACCATGCAGTTTTTGTTACTGTAGCTCTGCAGTATAGTTTAAGTTCTAATATTGGTTCCTCCTGCTTCACTCTTCTTGCTAAGAATTGCTTTAGCTATTCTGGATCTCCTATTTTTTTCAAATGGAATTTCATAATTGCCTTTTCTATATCTACAAGGAATGATGTTGGGATTTTAATTTGAATTGCATTAAATCTGTATAGTGCTTTTGGTAGTATGGTCATTTTTATAATATTAATTCTGTCTGTCCAAGAACAAGAGAGATCTTCATATTTTCTCAGGTCTTCTTTAATTTCTTTTTTTAGTGTTCTGTAGTTTTCATTGTAAAGGTCTTTCACCTCTTTTGTTAGATTGATTCCTAAGTTGTTTTTTTTTTTTCTTTTCTTTGAGGCTATTGTAAATGGGGTAGTTTTCCTAATTTCTCTTTCAGAAAATTTGTCACTGATATACAGAAATGCATTTGATCTATGTGGGTTGATTTTATATCCTGCTACTTTGCTGAATTCATTTATTAGTTCTAGAAGTTTTCCAGTGGAGTTTTTTTTGGATCCTCTAAGTATAGAATCATRTTGTCAGCAAATAGTGATAGTTTAAGTTCTTCTTTTCCTATTCGTATCCCTTTAATTTCTTTCATCTGTCTAATTGCTCTGGCTAGAGTTTCCAGAACTATGTTGAATACAAGTGGTGAAAGAAGACATCTCTGTCTTGTTTCAGTTTTTAAGGGGAATGCATTCAATTTTTCTCCATTTAGAATAACGTTGGCCTAGGGCTTAACTTAGATAGCTTTTACAAAGTTGAGATCTGTCCTATGTTTCTATTTTTCTTGGGTGAATATCTAGGAGTGGAATTTAATTAGATGTGTATTTAATTTTACAAGAAGCTTCCCAATAATTTCTTGAAGTGTTTGTGGGTGTACAGTCCCACCAGAAATAGATGAGACCTCCAGTTTCTCTGCATGATTGTCAACATTGGATCTCATCAATCTTTTTTTTTTTTTTCTCTTTTTTAGCCATTCTGATGGATGTAAAATAATGTCTGGTTGTCATAGTAATGGCTAGTCTGATGAGGAGCCACACTGTGCACTTTCTCGTTCTCATAGGCCAGTCATTTACCTTCTCTTAGAAATGTCTGTTCAAGTCTGTCCATTTTAAATTCATTTGTTTTTTTCATTGTGTGGGGAATTCCTTTTATATTCTAGTTTTGAGTCCCTTGTTAGATGCATGCTTTGCAAGTAACTTCCCTCACCCCACCCAGTCTGTAAGTTATCTATTCCTTTTTTCCCTCCCTTTCTTTCTCTCTTCCTTTTTTTTCCTTCCTCCCTCCCTCCCCCGCCCCTTTCTTTCTTGAGTGAAAGAAAGGGGTGCTTTACCACTGAGCCACATTCCCAGCCCTTTTTTATTTTTAAGGTTCTCATTAAGTAATTGAGATATTACTAAATTGCTGAGGCTGGCCTCAAATTTGCAATCTTCCTGCCTCAGCCTCCCTAGTTGGGGACTGTAGGTGTGTGTCCCTGTGCATAGCACCTATTCATTTTCTTATTGTCTTTAATGAGGAAACATGTTTGGTGAAATTAAGCTTACCAGTTCTTTATTTTATGATTAGTGCTTTTTGCATTCTAAGAAATATTTGCCCATCAAAGTTGCAAAGGTATTCTTCTGTTTTCTTCTAGGAGTTTTATGGTTCTGGTTTTTATGTTTACATCTCTGAGACATATTAAATTATTTTCCATCTATGAAGAGAGGCAGGAGCTGAGGGTTTTTTTATTTATTTTTCTATGTTCACAAGGATATTCAATTATTACAAAACAATTTTTTAAAATTGTCTTGGTACCTTGCATCATGTTGTATTGACTCTAAATTTATAAATTCTCCTCTGGAATTTTTTTTTCCTATTTCATTCTACTGTTTGTCCACTCTTACCCCTAAACTGTGTTTTCTTGATCTCTTTCTACTTTTTAAATGTTAAGATCAAATTTTAAAAGCATTCATCTAGCACTGTGTCTTCCAGACTCTATCTGTGTTGCTTATAACAATCATATGACATGGCTGTCATTTCCTATCTGCCAACCGCCATCACATCACAGTTGCAAAAATATAAGACAAGTTAAATGGGCTACATTTGAACACCAGCCTGTATTATTATAAATCCTGTCATTTTCCCACCAGTCCAGAAGTTGCCTTTGCAAGGAACTTAAACTCTACCAAAAAATATCCCATCATGCCACTCCAGCTACATCTCTTAGTGGTTCCTTGGTGATGCTCAAATTTTTAACCAAACTGGATATCTAGCAGGTTCTACAGTATTTTCCACCCTTTTCTGAACAGGGCCTTTGTTGGACAGCACTCTGTGTTTTTAATAGTCTAATGCTTACATTTCTGTCTCAAAAAATCTCTTCATCAATCTATTACTGACCCCCAACAATCAGATGTAATAATTCTGCTTCAAAACTCTTCTGCCAGTTGGTCGGTTTGTTTATTTATTTATTTGTTTGTTTGTTTATTTATTTATTTATCTGGTGCAGGAGATTGAACTCAAGGTCTGTTACAGGCTAAACATATGCTCTACTACTGAGCTACATTTCCAGCCCTCTCTTATATTATTGCTTTATAGTTCTAACGATATTTGGGACATTATTATTACTGTTATTGTTATTATTATTTCTGAATTCTTGCCCAGTTTTTTTCCCACTAGGAGGAAAAATCTTTGAGAATAGCATATTGTCTTTGTGTCTCTTATATAGGCATTTCAACAAATTTGAGTGAAATAAATATTTTGATATAGCTAAAGGACCTTGTGATCAAAATTAAAGTTTTCAAAAAGTGAACATGTTAACCCAGCATGTGATTCGATTCGGGATAACCTCAGAGATGATTCTCTCCGTTTAATCCCTATTAACTTTGTTTTCTCCAAATCAGATCTTTCCAGTTGGAAGACTCTCAGAACTGTAGCAGAGATTTTGTGGAGATACGGGAAGGAAATGCCACGGGTCCCTTGGTGGGACGATACTGTGGAAACCTCCTACCACTCAATTATTCATCTGTTTTGGGGCATATTTTGTGGATCAGATTTGTCTCGGATGGCTCAGGCAGTGGAATGGGCTTCCAGGCTACATTTGCTAAGAGTAAGTTGTKCTATTTTTGTGATGGTTCCCAGAATATGTCCTATAAAGTAGACATGATAACAAATTTTTCAGTAATACATTAAAGACCTGAACTCTAAGCTCTTCTCCAATATGGTCTATGGAATTCCTTTATTATAAGGTATATTGGAAGAACTAAAGCWCATCTGAATGGTTCATTGAGAGCACGAGAGAACATTCTCAATAGTTTGAATACCTTTTTAAGCTTTAGTTTCTATCTAATGCTAAATTGAAATCTTTATGATATTRTTTTAAAGAGTCTTCTAATACAGTTCAGGTTGGATATGTCATCGATTAAAYGTGTTTCATTTGATCCTATAAAAACATTTAGTATTACCTGGTATTGATTATAAGTGCCTATATATTTGAACTATAGAATATTCTTCCAGTAGAACAAAATGTTAACTGCTTTTATTTTTTAACTCAGATTTTTCATAATGGGCTATTCTGTTTGTTCAGTTTCTCTTGTAGAATTTAAAAAGAAAAGCACTCCCTTCTTTTTTAAAACAAAGCAAAATAGGTAAAGCACCTTCCAGCATCTCTGAGATCAGGGAGCCCCTTTTCACGTGGGAAGTTGTCTCCTCTTTTCAGACCAGGCAACCTTTCAAGGAGATGGAATTCCGTTCTCAAAATCACTCTTTTCCAAGGAATTAATAGAGAGTCCAGAATCCAAAAGGGAAGCTGTATTTCTTTCAGTAGTCAGAAAGGAAATCACAGTCCATTAGAAGTCTATCCTTTTTAACATCCCTTGTGTTTTGTTTTGTTTTTTAATTTGATCCAAGAGCTATTCTAAGTAGGTCTGATTTACTACTCTGTTTTCCCTCCTAGTATTTGGCAACGATAATATTGTGGGAACTCATGGGAAAATCGCCTCTCCCTTCTGGCCAGCAAATTACCCCCACAACTCCAACTACAAATGGACAGTAAGTGTGAATGCATCTCAAGTTATCCAGGGGAGAATCTTGGAGATGGACATTGAAGCAACTCACAACTGCTATTATGACAAACTAAGGGTGAGTTTCTGTGTACAATGTTGATAATTTTGATTGGTTGCTGTCGTTCGGCCCTAAATCATGATTCGGCCCTAAATCATGATTAGTACCTCTATATTACCTATATTATTTTCTATTCTGTATCTAAAGATTTTTTTTTGGTTCAAGTATTATTGTTATTCACTTATTGGGCTTTGTCTAAGCATGCATGTATGTAAAGATTGTTTTTTTCTGTCTTATATCCCATTATCCTGTTTGTTYTCATGTTGGAGTGCTGAAAATGTAAAGGATCACGGATAAATAAATAAATCCAATAATTGGCTGATAATTGCCATTCAGACCTTGGCTACTGTAGGAATAACAGAAACACTATCAGATCCCTCCAGGTCAGGATCCTTTCTTATTCATCTTGGATGCTCTCTGCCTTGAGTAGGACCCTGTACCTGATGGATATTCAATATATAAGGAAATAATTATTACATAATTTGAAAAAATGAGATTCAGGAGAGGATTTTATAGTAACTGTTGTAAATGAAATTGTGGCCAGTTACTTGGCAACCATGACAAAATGTGTCTCTAAATAGATATTTTAATATTTTAAACCAAATGAAAGAGTTGATGACTTTGAATGTGCTGAGCACTGCAGGATGTGGTTCTTATTTTTGTCACTGATTCTTCTTTTCTTATGTGGAGATTTGACTCTTAGGATGTTCTCTCACTTTCTCTCATTAAATTTTTCCTTTTTCTTCTTTTTTTCCTAATTGCTCCCTTTGAGGCCCCAGAACACATTAAGTATGATCGTTGAGTAACATTGCTACTTTCTGCTTTTCCACATACAAATTTTACTATAAATCACCTAATAAGCTATATCCCACAGAGCATGTTTATTAAAATAATTCTGCAACAAAGCTATAAATATTTTAAAATAACTTCCTTAAATTATTTGTAATAATAATTTACATTAATGGCATTTCTGTTTTAAACTGAAATAAAATGTTTGCTTATTATTTTTTTATTATAATCAAGTAGAAATACAAGGCRTCTTTAAAATTTTCTTTTTTATGGAGAGAAATGCAGGTAATGGTCTAATTACAATATCTCTGATTTGTTGTTTTTTTTTTTTTTACATGCAGATTTTTGATGGGTTGGATATTCATTCCATCCTAATTGGAACTTACTGTGGTACCCAGCCTGAAACTTTTAGCTCCAATAGAAATACTTTGACATTTCAGTTTTCTTCAGACTCTTCAATTTCAGGGAAGGGATTCCTCCTGGAGTGGTTTGCAGTAGATGTTCCTGCTGGACCTTTGCCTACCATTGCTGCAGGTCTGTTTGGTATTGAATAGCATTCTATTCAGGACTGATATGTGCAGGCCAATATTTCAAAGGATCCAATCATAAATGATGTCCTTCCTTTATGCCTTCAGGTGTCTTAAAATTCATAAATACTACATTTTGTAAAAAAATTTTCATTGTTTCTTGAAAATGAATGTTTCTTGTTATGATTTTCATATATAGAGGTGCTAGATATTCATGAAGACAAACTACTTATAATTTCTAATAACTATTTGAGAGTTCTCTGAAAATTTGATTTATAATACCATACATACACACACACACACACACACACACACACACACACACACAGAGTTGTTAGGATCAACTAAATAGACAGTAACTTTTCCCCCTAAATTTTATTTCATTAAAAAACCACATATTAAAAGTTTTATTAAAAATAATAAAGCTTAAATTTTTATATGTATTAATACATTGAGCATTGTATCATCAGCATTTCTTACTCATGCAATTTTGGCTAATGAATTTAAGTCAACRAATACTTATGGATGATTTATTATGGATACAGTGAGGTCACTAAGAAAGGAAACCAATATACAATTTCTACCTCCAGGGGCTTAAAAGTAATTGGGAAAAACAAAGTACTTATGTGATAGTTAACAGTTGAGTAGTTAAATGATTAGGTAACAAAGCAAGTGGTTCAGTCAGTAAATAAGCAACCATGAAAATGAGCTTGACCTGGTGGTCTAGATCATTGGTAGAAATTTCACATTTTGCCTGACTGCAGTGGTGCACACCTGTACTCCCAGCTACTTGGGAGGCAGAGGCAGGAGTGTCACAAGTTCAAGGCCAGCCTGGGTAACTTCACAAAATTCTGATTCACAATACAATTAAAAGGGATTGGGATACAGTTCAGTGATACAGTGCTTGCCTAGCATGCACAAGGACCTGGGTTCAATCCCACCACTGCAAAAAAAAAAAAAAAAAAACCAAGAAACGAACAAACAAACAACAACAATGCATCAAGTAGGAAAACATTAGTCAGCGCATCAGTCAGGAAATGCTCAGTCATGTTACAGAATACATAATTCCAAACTCTTAGTAACTGAAAACAGGGAGGTCTCTTTCTTGTTCACTGTCCAAGTCCTTCATAGATTGAGTGGGTGCCTGTCATCATCGTCACTGCCTAACTCTGGCTGTTGCAGCTGCTCTCTGGGACTTTGCCTGTGATCATGGCAGGAGCGAAAGAGCCTGGAATGTCTCAGTTCTGAAAGTGCTCAGTGGGAAAGTGGCACTTATTTTTGCTCATAATTTTTTGACTGAAACTGGTCAAATGTCCTCACCCAACCATAAGAGAATCAGGGAATTGGACTCTAACAAATATTTGAAAGTTGGGAGAAATAGAATATTTGGCAGGCATGAGTTCATGACTCACAGTCTGCTGTTGTGATAACTATCTTTGACAAATTYAAGATAAGGAATATTTTATATGAAGGAAAAAATTTGAAGGTACCAGATAACATTCAGCATTTGGATTTTCCACTTCAAAATTACTCTTTTTGAAAACTTCCATAGCCTAGATAGTACCAAGATAGCAGAATTAGGACTTAGTCCTAGTGTACTTTATATTCTCTTTCTGATAGTCCCAGTACTAATCAAACATATGGTATAAAATCAAAATTTTCTGGATTGTCAAACTATATACCTCTGGAAATCTAAAAATACTGGGCAAAAAAAATGGTCAAAATCAAATCTGGGGGGACTCTAGAAATTAACCAAAGCCTTACAACAAGCTGAGGGGGTTTTATTTAAGAAAACAGCAGAATCTCAGTAAGAATGGTCATCTCTGTGGTATCTTAACTTTTATAGTCCCATCCTTCCTCCTCTTCCTAGCTGAAGAGTAGCCTCACAGCAGCCTCACAAAGATGGTAGATGTGAAAACCRCAGCTTAGCAGCATAATAAGAGGGCAAAACAGTTTGGGATCTCCAGAAAACAGGCTATCTCCAAGGAATTTCCATTATTTGACCTGTCTAGCAGCCTCTTGGAAAATTGCTTTCTCACATCTTGTCTTCATTTGACCTGCCTTAAGAGCTCACGGTGTAAACAGACTTACCCTTAGGGTACTTGTCAAAACAATCAGCAGCAGTTGTCTAACATCACAAGTACTTGAGGCAGTGATACCAGTAATAGCTAACAGGAAACTGACCAAAAAAGCATAAATGGAAAAACTGAAGAATGGGAGAGATGTCTATCTACGGATTTAAAAAACTCTGACATATTTCTGGGAGTCTAGAAGACCACACACATGTACATGCCTATTTATATTCCCAAGAAAAGACCCAAAAAGATCCTAATTTCTCACCTCTGTATGATCTTGAGTGTCTGTGAAAGTCAAAAGTAAAAGCTCAGGCAGAGTTGTAAACTGTCTACTGGAACCTTATTCCAATGAACACATCATTCCAAAATTCCTTGGAAATGAATGGGAGACTTAAATCTCCATCTAATGATTAGTTGACCAATAATTTGAACAGAAACTCGGTGGCTATATACAACAAAGAGTACAAACATTATAGAACTAGTGCAAATAGTCATTAAACTAATAATAACATCAAACCTTGGATGGTATTAATTTCCAAAGTTCCCTGTTTAAAAATGTCCAGTTTTCAAAAACAGCAACAAAATAATGAGACACAAAGAAACTGGAATGTATAGCTCCCATCAAGGAAAAGAACAATCAAAAGAGACTATGTTGGAACCCAAGAGGTTGGCCTCAAGGAACAAAGATATAAAATTAGATATTATGAATATACTTAAAAAGMTAAAGAGGTTGATGTCTAAAGAATTAAAGGAAAGTAAGAGAATAATGTCTCATCAAGTGGAAATTATCAAAAAGTGATAGGAAAAACATATTTTTAGAGAATCAACTAGAAATTTTGCAGTTGGCAAGTATGACTGAAATAAAAATGCACTGGAAAGGCTCAATACCAAATTTGCGCAAGCAGAAAAGAGAATCAACAAACTTGGAGTTCATTGTGATTATCCTGCCTGAAGAAAGGGAATAAATAAAATTGTACAGAGCCTCAGATAYGATCAAGCGTGACAACATATGTATAACAAGAGTCCCAGAAGATGAGAATAACATGAAAGAGAAACAAAGAATATTTGAAGAAATAGTGTCTGAATTCATCTGAAATTCAATGAAAAATATTGACCAATACATCCAAGAAGCCTAAAAAACTTCAAGAATGATAAACTCAAAAAGTTCTAGGCCTACACACAGCATAGTCAAACTGTGAAAGATGAATATAAAGATCTTATCTTGAAGATTCAAAGACTATGACTTGTCATGTAAAAAATTTTCAGTAGGATTAATCAAATCCATGAAGACCAGAAGGCAAATCCCAAATGTTGAAATAAAAAGACTGTCTAATCAAGTATTCTMTATTAAGCAAATGTTTTCTTTAAGCACAAATCCAAATACTTCCAGTTAAATGAAACCACAGAATTCATTGTTAGCAGTCCTGCCCTATGAGAAATATAAGAGGGGGGTCTTCAGGCTGAAATTAAAGGTCCTTGTAAATCTTCAGAACCTACTAGACATTAGGGTAAAGATAACTATATAATTAAATGTAAAAGGCAGTATAAATGTATTTTTGTTTGTAATTATTTTCTTCTATCATATTATTTTAAAAATAACCTCATAAAATAATAATTATAAAACTACATTAATGGGCTWATAATATTTACAATTTTAATTTGATGGCAATAATTTCATAAAGGATGAGAAGGGCAGGAATTGGGATATGCAAATTAAGCATTTATAATCTGAAATGCTCTAAAATCTTAAACTTTTTGAGCACCCAGAACATTTCAGATTTTGCAGCATTTTGAATTTTGTATTTTCTTTTCTTTCTTTTCTCCCCTCCCCTTTGGTACCAGAGACTGGACCCAGAGCACTTAAACCCTGAGCCACATCTCCAGCCCTTTTTATTTTGAGACTGGGTCTTGCTAATTTGTTTAGGGCCTCACTTAGTTGCTGAGACTGGCTTTGAACTTGCAATCCTCCTGCCTCAGCCTCCCAAGCTGCTAAGATTAAAGGCATGCACCACTGTCCCTGATATCAAATTTTGTGTTTTCATATTAGGGATGTTTAGCTAGTAAAATCTATGCAGATATTCCAAAATTAAAAAAAAAAACTTAAAAATCTGGAAGATTTCTGGTCCCAAGAATTTTGGGTTGTCATATACTTACTTCTGCTTACCTAATAATCAACACTCAATAATAAAAGAAGAGTATGGCAAAATTATGGCAAATAAGCATAACATGTTATAATTTTCATACATTAAAAAGGAGAAATACAGAAATCATGGCCATCTGAATCAGTGAGTTTAATACAATATTTATTGATTTCTTTGAGAAACGTGTTCCAATTGATTCCCGTATAATCAATTTAAGTGGAAAAGCATTGGTATCTTTCCCTTTTTAGAGRTATTCAAAGGTGTTGCTTTTTATTCTGCAGGTGCTTGTGGCGGGTTCCTGAAGACTGGAGAAGCGCCACTCTTTCTTTTCTCCCCAGGCTGGCCTAGAAGCTACAGTAATGGGGCTGACTGTACCTGGCTCATCCAGGCTCCTGATTCTACTGTGGAACTCAACATCCTCTACATGGATGTTGAACCTCACTCAGCCTGTGGCTATGATAGCCTTGTGATAAGAGATGGTGAGAAAAATTAAAAGAAAAACATTCTGAGTTTCAACACTGACATTTACTTAGTTATATTCCATTCTCATTATACTTGTTTATAGCCTCTGTTCATTTTGTATGGAATTTCATAGATACTATGATCAACGAAGCCATCAAATACTAGAATTGGCCATAATTTCTGGAGAATGTGAGGAAAATATTAAATTGCYTGGTATAAAATGTCAGGAATAACACAAAATTCTTACATATATTCCTACGTACATTCCTACATACATACATATATACATGCATACATTTGAGAAGCCTAAGTAGGAAATAATAGTATGAATTCTCATGTTTTGCTACTTTCTTTAGAAGCCTTGGGGCTAAATATTGACATTGTATGTATATCTATGGCTTTAAGATCCAAGGGGAAAATATTTATRATTCTAATATGTTGATTCCTGTTGTCTCCCGAATCTCTGGTAGAATAAGTAGAATTAAGAGGTAATAAGTTGGCACATTTTCCTTTATATGTAGCTATTATGTTATTATACAATGACATTATTCATGAGGGACATAAACAATGCTGATATGCAACATGCACAAAGTTGTGCTTCATTATTTGCTTGGGCTGGAATGAAGGAAAACAATAGGGAGTTCATAGTCTTCACATGAAGTGTTTCTCAGCATGGCCCTCAAATCAACAGCATTGACACCTGCTGAAAAGTTAGAAAGTTTGAAAGTTAGTTAGAAAGGCAGATTCTCAGAAAAAAACCAAAGATATGTTTGCTTTTGACACACAGGTTGCTAATGTGCAGGTTTTTTCTACCTTAGACCRTCATCCCTAGCCCATATCCTCTTCACCCTCTAGTGAGAAAAATCAAATGGTGGGGTCCCCATCKATAGAGGACGGACACTAAGATTTAAACCAGTCCTATAAACATGAGATGAAAAACTCCTCCCTTCTCCCCCGACTTTTTCTATCAACAATCAGCTATCATCACATGCCCCCCCCAAATGTATTGTCTTTCCTGACATTAAGGCATTCCTATGGATATTAAAATTTAAATTTTTGATGTAATGTAATAGGTGAATCCTTGTGTACATATTCTGAGTGTTAGGCATCTGGTGRAAGCCTTTTAAAAATCTTCAGTAGGAAATTACATCAGTGAAGTAAATTATGGTTGTTCTTTAAAGATTAAATTCGAATGGCTTGTTTTCTGTTCCATCAATAACTTTTCTCGGAAGCCTAGACTCTGGAATCTCAAGGGTTCTGAGAAATATGTGTGAGCTACTTTGGCTGAGTWGCGAAGGATGGGAGATTCTTAAGACATCGCCTTTTCACGCTGATGTTTCCTTTCYTTGGTCACAGGAGACAATAACTTGGCTCAGCCGCTAGCAGTTGTCTGTGGCAGAGAGATCCCTGGGCCCATCCGGTCTACTGGAGAGTACATGTTCATCCGCTTCACCTCTGACTTCAGTATCACTGGGGCAGGCTTCAATGCCTCCTTTCACAAGAGTAATGTRTTCAGACATTTGATTCCTTTCATCTCCTCTCACCTCTGTCTTTTCTCTCTCTATTATATGCTCTGCTCATTTTCCCATGCCAGGGCACACATAGGTTATAGTCAGAGGACACAGGTCTTTGCCACCTCTGGATGCCCATCCATGTGTCAAGTACTGAGTTTTAATATAAAGCACGGAGACTAAGTTGTACAAAAGGGTGTCTCCTGCCTTCAGGTCTCTGAGTGGGACATCTCATCCCCAAAGGACATGTGCTCAYGGTGGGCATACGTATGAGTGAGACCTTAGACATAATTTCTCAGCCTAGCTGAGGGCTGGAACTCAAAAGACAACACGTATCCACAACACATCAAAGGAGAAATAAGTCAATGTTATCTTCAATCCAAGAAATGACAGGTAAACATGAGACAGAAAATATCTTCACAAATGCCTTGGCTGAAATCATCCATTCCAAGATTGGCAGGAAGAGTTTGTTGCTCTTGAAATCTGATTTTGATGAGTCAGAGAATGTGTACAGTATGGAAGATTCTGTCACRTGAGTATGATCAAGACTTTCATAGCTTGACAACATTGAAGTCTCACAATAACTTTATTTATTTATTTAGGTACCGGGGATTGAACCTAGGGGCACTTAACCCCTGAGCCACATCTCCATCCTTTTTAAAAATTTTATTTTGAGACAGGGTCTTGCTGAGTTGCTTAGGGCCTTGCTAAGTTGCTAAGGCTGGCTTTGAACTCCCAATCCTCCTGCCTCAGCCTCCTGAGCCCCTGGGATTACAGGTATGTGCTACCATATCCAGCTCATAACTTTAAATCTAAACTAATTAAAGAAGTAGTCGATATTGTATGGAATATTGAGTCTCATGTGTTTAAGACATTATCTTAAAGCAGATTCTCAGACTAATATTAAAAATAAATCTAATATTTTCTTCATTATTGTATATAGCTTTTCAGAATCAGGGAAACAGGCTGTATCATGGTTTAAGAGAATAGACTTTGGAATTAGATGGATTAAAGATAAATTTTCACCTCTGTGCTTTAACTAGGTGTGTGAGCTTTCCTCACTCACTCTCTGAWAAGCTGTGGAGTCCCTAACAAAGGGAAAATTAATGCCTGCCCCAAATACTTCTCACTCTCTCTCAACTGTAGGTGTGTGCCACTCTCCTTTGTAAGTTGTGTGTGACACATTGCTGACACACATTCTACCCATCCACCAAGCCCAGTAATTTCTACTGTTGCACTTCATCTAGATTCCAACTACTTTTGCCATTTCCCCCKCTACCATCCCTGTCCGGGCCTCCACTTACTCCTCGGACTGACAATCCCCTCCTTATTAGATCTCGGATTGTACTTTCCCTTGCCTGTACCCTTTACCGTCCTAGTATTGYAGACAGTGATCATTTTATGATTTAAACAAGATGATGCTATTCTGATGTGCAAGACCTTCAGTGTCTTCCTCTTACTTGGAATGAGTCCTTTCTAATTCCTGCATGCCCTGGCCCATGCTGTGCTTACGCTSTCACATTCTGCCTCACCCCTCTGATTTCCCCTGTAGACCTCTTAACCTTTACAACACTCTCTGGGCTGGAACATTCTTCTCTCACAAGGCCCACTTAGTTCCATGCTTCCTTTCCTTCAGACCTCTGCTCAAATATTCCTTYAGGACATATCTAACTTCCCCAGATGATAGACTACCTATCCTTCACCCTCCATTCCTCCTATTTTTCTTGAAAGACTCTCTTATATATTGTGTATTTTCTTGTTGCATCTTTCCCTCCTCTAGAAAGGAAGCTTACGTTAGACGTGATGGTGCTCCAGGCAATTCGGGAGGCTAAGGCAGGAGGATCACAAGTTCAAGAACAGMTTGGAAAATTTAGAGATCCTGTTTCAGAATAAAATTTTAAAAGGGCTGGGGATGTAGCTCAGTGGTAGAGTAATGGCCTAGCATGCATGAGGTTCTGGGTATAATTTCCAGTACTGCAAAAATAAACAAACAAAAACAAAGTAGGGTTTATGAAAGTTTTAAGTGATTTGTTCCTATTGCTTCCCTCTGTATCACCSATCATGACAACAGCCACACAAATACCCAGCAGAGCATGCTCAATCAGTATTCATTCTGCCAATTGTTTCCCCTACTTAGATCCCTTTCAGTTTCAAACCTTGTTTCTATTGTYTGCCCTTTGAAAACTACCAAGAAAAATAGGAAAGCCTAAAAAACCTGGTGGTCACTGTCCCTTTAATAACCTGCTTTTCTTTCTCCTTGGAAAGGCTGTGGTGGATATTTGCATGCAGACAGAGGGATTATCACATCCCCCAAGTACCCAGAGACCTACCCTCCCAACCTCAACTGCTCCTGGCACGTTTTGGTCCAGAGTGGTCTGACCATCGCTGTCCATTTCGAACAGCCCTTCCACATCCCAAATGGAGATTCTTCTTGCCGCCAAGGGGATTACCTGGTGGTAGGTCTTGCTAGCTGTCCTTTCTAATTACTGTCTCAGTAGACTTCATTTAGAAAACACAGTGGTAATTTTTGTCTCTTAGGACACAAATCAATAGGAGTTTTTTTTTTTCACCGCATTTTTCTCAATATAAAGGAGTTATGCAATTTTWATATGTCTTTTCAGCTAAAAAATGGACCTGATATCTATTCTCCGCCTTTGGGACCCCATGGAGGAAATGGTCGTTTTTGTGGCAGTCATCCTTCATCAACTCTGTTCACCTCAGATAATCAAATGTTTGTTCAGTTTATKTCTGACAGTAGTAATGGAGGGCAAGGATTTAAGATCAGATATGAGGCAAAGAGTCTAGGTAAGTATATCTATTGCGATTAGATTTTAATTTTTCATGCGATTGCCTTACCTTCCTTGTTTAAATGGATTGGAGGGAAAATCATGGAAATTCTTCTTTTCTGAACAAAGAATAAAGCATYAATAAGAAGAACTACCTATATGGGACACAGTGGCACTCATCTGTAATCCCAGCTGCTTGGGTGGCTGAGGCAGGAGGATCATGATTTCAAAGACAGCCTCAGCAAAAGCAAGTCACTAAGCAACTCAGTGAGACCCTGTCTCTAAATGAAGTACAAAATAGGGCTGGGGATGTGGCTCAGAGGTTGAGCGCCTCTGAGTTCAATCCCCCTACCAAAAAAAAAAAAAAATAGCTACCTATTATTAAGCACTCAGTATATGCTCAACACTTTAAATATTTCAACATAAATACTTTTTTAAAGAAAATATCGTTATTTTCCTTTTTTCATGTAAGTAAAATAATGTTTGGACTTTTCTAAGTTAATTTTTTAGAGTTAGTAACCAAAGTGACATTGCCTATGTATACAAAATGAACCGTTCTTATTGATCCCTGAAATATCTTAGAACTTTCCATTATTAAATTTCCAGTTAAACCTAGCTAAAGAAACATTGAAAGGATTATAATTGCTTTGTTTAATAATTTGTATGCTTCCTTGGAAAAAAAACACTAATTCTAAATCTATTTTTACCCATTTAATTTTTCCATATTACAATAGCAATCTTTAATTAACTTTAACTGCATTTAATTATGACTAATTTTGTGGCAATAATTTGAATTTTGTGATATTTATTTTTGTTTAGTTGACTAAATAAATAGGTATAGCTTCAAAAACAGGAAGTAGGGTCAATGGAGAGCAATAGCAATAATAACTCTTTGTTTATTGTCCTGAAATTAGATAATGTGGATTTCAGGATGATATTGTGATCTTAATTCCAGATTCTTGAATACATTTCAAATTACATATTAATCTCAGTGAAACCATACTTGTGCATTCTCCCAGATATGAGAATTTAAAGTGTCAGCCTCACTTCTTTTATTTTGGGAAAGGAAAGGAAATAAAAGTCTCCATTAATTATCACAAAAAAAAATCATCTAGTAGCTTGAGTAGGTTCCAAAGCAACAAGTGATATACATCTGTCACTCCAGCTGTGGTCCACAGAGAGAGATCTAGCTCCAATGCTTTATGGCTGTGAACTCATCCTTCCCTAACCCCAGACTGAGCTTTGTGGCTGTTGTGAATGGTTTGATTTTACCTGTTTATGGAAACATTATTAGAGTAACAGTGCCTAATGAGMAGACTTCAGCCCAACTCTACTCTTCCATTCATTATGTTTTTTAGGCCAACATTTCATGATAATTCAGATGCACTAGGGTTTACTTGACAACATTGCTTTTCTATTCCTTTGTGGACTCACACTATTCAAGTTGGTTGTGGCCATTACCTCTTCCCAATCTTGCTGCAGGCTTATGACTTTTCTTAATATTAGATTTAAACAAAGGTCTTTTTGTTTCAAAACCTATGGTTGGACAACCCCAACGAGATGATCACTCTTGTTTCTTCATACTAAGTTAATCATTTTCCCTAACTGGAATCAGGATGTGGCTTCTCCTGACAACTGGCTACTTTCCACCATGTATACTTTAAGTCCACTTCCATTTCTTTAACATATATTCCTGTGTGAATAACGTTTGACATCAAATTTGCCTTGTTTTWTATCATCTTTCCCTAGAGACATCTCTTCACCGTGATTGATTGAGATGTCTTTTATTCTCAYCTCATTAATTGTCCCTTTAATTAATTAATCAGACATTTAGAAAGTGCTTCTTGCTATGCAAGCTACCAAATTCTGTCAAGGAGTTCAGTGCAGTGGAGAAGACAGGCTAGCAAAGGCATAGTTAGCATATGGCGTAATACATGCTAGGTGGAGGAATACATCAGGAGCTATGTAAACACATAGAAGAAACAGTCTAGCTGACGAGATCAGAGAAGGCTCCCAGAGCAGGTAGATAAACAGAGGGATCTGTCAACTAGTGAAGAAAGGATAGGACAATGTATTGTGTCTCAGTGTTAAAAGATAAGGCAAATTCGGTTTTAAAATAATTTACTACTGTTGGAAAATAGAGTTAAAAGGATGTAAATATGGTGATGAAGCCGACAGGAATCATTATGCTCAGGGCCACAAATACCACCCTAAGGACAGAAGATGTTAGCCAGGAGGTTAAGGGGGGACATTGAGAGATTTTAATCCCAACATGCATAGCATGATCAAATTAGAAATTGATATTTCTCATCATTGTAAATATATTGTAGGAGGAAAGGCTAAAGAGAGAGACCTGACAAAAGAGTTAAATCGGGAAAAAAAAAATTAAGTTCTGAACTAAGGCAATGGCAGTAACAGGACAGAAGAAAGGGTTTACTGAAAGGTTTATAAATACAGAATTGAGTGGATGCAGGTCACTTGGATGTGGAAGGTGAGGGAAGACATGGAGGAGCCGTGGAGAATACTGGGTTTCTGGCTGGGTGAGTGCATTTATTTTGTGAACATTTATTAAAAGCTTTCCATGTGGCTAATATTGAAGGATATAGCAGTAAACAAATGGAATCCATGTCCTCATTGAGCTTAATTTTAGTCTTAAAGTACAGATAAGAAATAAGTAAAATATATACTTGTGGTAAATGTGGTAAAAAGTAGGTAGGATGGGGCTGGGGTTGTGGCTCAGAGGTAGAGAGCTTACCTACCATGCGTGAGGCACTGGGTTAGATCCTCAGCACCACAGAAAAAATAAAAAATGAAGGGCTGGGTTGTGGCTCAGTGGTAGAGTGCTTGCCTTGTGCATGTGAGGCACTGGGTTTGATTCCCCTCAGCACCACATAAAAAATGAATAAATAAAATAAAGATATTGTGTCCATCTACAACTAAAAAAATTCTTTAAAAGAATAAAAATGAAGATATTATGTCCACCTATAAATAAAAAAAATATATTTAAAAAAAATATGTAGGATAAAAACAAGGTAGTAAAAGTGGATACTGAATGTCAGTAGTGGGGAGGTGACGCCATCACTCTTGGGTGTAGAACTCTGGAAGGGCAATTAGACAATTCCAGTTTAAGACAAGTTCAGTTTGAAATCTCTAAGTTAAATCCAGTGAAGATGTGTGGTAGGATGTTGGGACATGAGTCTAGAGGTCAGGAGAGGGATCTAGACTGAATTTGTAACTATAGGAATCACCAAAAGATTTGTAGGTGCAGACATGAGGGTATAACATTAATCAGATGAGGGGTGATGGCCAGTGTCCCATTGTTGGGGGGAGTTCTTCTTCCTGCCAAGGAGGGTGTAAGCCATCTGAAAAATTAACATCTAGAACAATTAGTGAAGAACAAAAGACAGAGTCAGAAAGATATTTTTTAAAAGTGGAGTCCCTGGTAGATCCAGTCCACATAGGAGGTGGAGCTAGACAATAGCAAATGGCTCCAGCTGTTATTTAAGGGCACATCAAAGGCAGGTATCAAGTTTCAAGGGCAGAGTCTTGCTTCTTGTCTTGCAGTCAGCAGGTTGATTGGCCTCTTGGCAGGTCGCACCCATCTCAGAGTTGGCTGYRAGACTACAGTAGGTCACCCYATSTCCGATGCTGTGTGGGACATGGCATAGCAGAATAGGAATTCACAATGTCTCTGGGCAGTCTTACACAGAGGAAATAAATGTCCACTGGTAGTTCCCAGACACCAGATGTTCYTATTCACTACTAGGSTGTGATGCYGACAAAGTCCATGCACAGCCCATGGACGGCTCTCAACAATCAGAAAATTATTTAGAGGGAGAATATGAAAGACCTACAGAAAGATTCCTGGAAATTTCCAGCAATGTCAGGAAAGCCCTGGAAAGAGACACCCAAAGGCCAGAGGAGGAGGGGGGATAGGAGCAAAAGAAGAGGAACTTGGTGTCTAAGAAGCTAAGGGATGCAAATGAAAGGAGGGAAGAAGTAGTCAACCATGTTAAATGCTATGAATATATAAGTATTAAAAAGGATCTTTGGGCATCCAGTTTCCAGGTGATTGACAGCTTGAACAAGAGTGCTTGATAGTTTTGAAGAATGAAATGTGTAGGTGGGCTGGGTGGAGATTAACAGCACTGGAGGAGAGAGGTAAAGCACAAGATCCCTGAAGGGACAGAATAGGATGGGGTCCTGATCCAAATGCAGRAAGATAATGGAGAAGAAGAGGGTAGAGATGCAGGTGAATTTCTTCAGGATGGTAACAGATAGGAAATTATAAATGGACAGTATTCTTATTTGAAATTTTTTGTATTTTCTTTGTCAAGTAAAATATCATGTAGCATGTTAAGAATCAAGAGGGAATGGGGATAATAAAGGGATTAGGGAATACAGTTTCACATGACTATTGTCATTTTATGAAAAGTAATGGACAAATTGTTTATATGAAAAGTARTAGGAGAATAGGGTGGCAAAGCTGAGACTGGGGAACCTTTATATTCAGTGGCACCATTTGCACAAATGACTTGACCACAACCACAGAATTGACMTTTTGCAAGGGGAGTCTGAAGAAAAGATATGGAGCAAGGGAGGAAAAGGCTGTCAAAGGGCTCTGCTATTGGGGCTTTCAGAGACTCTGGTAGTTCTAAGTAATGGCAAAATTCAGGATGTGGCCATAAGCAGTTGAATAGCAGAGGAAGTATATAGCTTGAGGTTAGTAGATCAAGGACGTGTGGCTGAGTCATTGAACAGGTTAATTTCATTGGCATGGTAAATGGGTTTATTCTTGCCTAGTTCGTTTGCTGAAATTGTCAAAGAATAATTATTGATAAAAGAAAGGTAGTTTTATATGGTCCTTTGGTGCATTAGAAAAGACCCTTTGTCCTTTGTCTTCTTTCGGGAGGAGGGCGGGGGAGACTAATAAATCCTTTTATGTCATCTTTCTCTTGCTCTTTAAATGTACCTAAATTCTGAAGATGTATAATGAATGGATGTCCAAAAATTTGTACAAATATATATCTGCTTAGTTTTTAAAGCATATCAAGGTCATGGCTGTACTCCACTGAACAATAACCACCAGTTTATTTACATGCTCAACAAAGTGGTGGAAATGTATGCATGCTTCTAACACGCTGCAGAAACTGTGTCTGTCATTTTGTTGACTTTAAGGAGGAATTAAGTTTCCAACAAGATAGATGGCAAATTAAAAAGTGACCCACCTGGAGCTGGGTGTGGTAGCACACACCTATAGTCCCAGCTACTAAGGAGGGTAAGGCAGGAGAATGGCTTAAACCCAGGAGTTCAAGATCAGCCTGGTTCAACACAGTGAGACTCCTGTCAAGGAAAAAAAAAAAAAAAGATAATTCCAGTTGAAAGGAAATGGAGACTGGAAATGAAGATAAATTGACTTTAGAAAATGATTGTAGCAATGAACTGTCCTTCACCAGACTGCAAATTGATTTAACTGTGTTTCCTGACAGCCTGTGGGGGCAATATCTACATCCATGATGCTGATTCTGCTGGATATGTGACCTCCCCCAACTACCCTGGCAATTATCCGCAGCATRCGGATTGCATTTGGATCATAGCTGCTCCTCCGGGAAAAGCTATAAGGTTGCAGTTTGAAGATCAATTCAATATCGAAGTAACACCCAAGTAGGTCACCTCTGTTTTCATTTTTCTCTCACCCACGCTCAGTACTCTTTAGCTGTCATGTCTCAGAACAATTCATTTCTTCTTTTCTTAGCTGTACACCCTGTATAGGAAATCTAGGGACAAAGGCACAAGCTTAATGCCTGGAGCCTGAAAACCATGCCTGGCAGCCACTCTCTTATCAGCTGAGCAGATTATGAAAACAGATATTGCCCCTTCTGACCTTTCAGACATCCTCCAAGAGACATTGAGGGTGGCTGTTTGAGATTTATGTTATCTGTTGTTCTTCCCACAGGAAAAGTATAGTGCCTCTGGTAGATGGGTATTTATATGCTCAGTCTCATATTCAGTGTCATTGATGATAAAATATATATTTTAACAAATGGGAATTGGTGTTAGTTAGGTGGCACCAGGGGGTCACAAGAGTCAGAAACAGCACTAAAGCAAATATTGGTTTCTTAAAGGATTACAACCCAGAGAGTATATCTTACTATGTCTTAGGTAGTCCATAAGACACCATCTATGGTTTTCTCTTTATTTTAACAAAAGTGTTTATATACTTGCATAAATCCATATGTGATACAAAACGTGATAGTAGAGTTTTGCTTCCCATTTCTGGGCGCCAAATATACTATTCTCCCACTCACTGTGCATTAATTGGCTGCTTTGACTTTCTCAGGAAACATTAAGTAAAGACTTGACCTCATTTTATGGATGGAGAAAATTCCAGCTGAGGCTCTCCATTAWCCCCTGTCACAGAGCTGCCAAATAAGAGTTCAGATTTCCATTGTGAAATGTATCAAATTATCATGTGAAACATAACTCCAGTTATCTTGAAATCCACAGGGGTTAGTTTGAAAATGACTTTTTATATTTGTAAAAACTAAAACAGAATTTGAAAGGCAAATAAATATTCTCTAGTGTGATACATGTAAAACCTGTCCTTCTGAGCTATTAATGATTGTATTATCATCAGAAAAATTACAGTATTTTAAAATGACATGAAGCTTAAATGGACTCTATCACGATATCTTAAGCTATAGAAATGATGCATAGTAATCTCCTTAGAGAAAGTTAGTGAAGTCTTCATTATTTAAATAAGTCAAAGCTATTKGCCTTGTAAATTTAACAGATTTCCCCCCCTTTAGTTGTTCTTCTAGTTACCTTGAGTTGCGGGACGGAGTTGATTCAAATGCTCCAGTACTTTCCAAATTTTGTGGGATGTCTTTGCCCAGCAGCCAGTTGTCCTCAAGAGAGGTTATATATTTGAGATTTCAGTCTGACAATAGCTCCACTCACATGGGATTCAAGGCCAAGTATTCTATAGGTAACATTTTATTTTTACATTAAATAATAAAGTAGTAAAGTGAATGTGTTCCAATTTTTAAAAATAAGTCTATCTGCATAATTTTAAGAATGATTTAATGATAGAAATAAGAGTATAATGTTTAAAACTGAAGTCACTTATCAATTTTAATTTCTCCCTTCATTTTTATTTTAAAACACTATTTTAGTAAACTAGTCTATTTTATATTTTTTCTAATTTGTGAAAAATATGTTCAGTTAAATTATTTTTCTTCTTTTTATCATGATATAATATATATATGTATATGTATATATTCATATAGCATAAGTTTAAATGATAAAATTATTTAGTAATCAAACCATTGTATTTAGAACAGTGACTGAACACCTCATCATTAATAAAAAATTGAGCTCCCCCCCAATCTCAAATGCCAAATCAGTCACTGAATAAAAAGCAGATATATTTTCTTGGTATTTGATTTCCTTATTTTAAAAATGTGCACTAAGTATACATATTGAAGATTCACTTCAATATGATCATAATGACATGACAATTAGTGTCTGGAGTGGGTCTGGACACTAGCCAAACAAATGTTTCATACAGCAAGGACTCAGAAAGCCTAGTTATAACAATATTTAACTTATACCATAGGTCATTTTATATTCAGAGTCAAGTTGTGTATAATTTAATCTAGCTGTCTCTTCTACTTGATAAGAAATCATTGGCTACAGCACGATGTTAATTTAACAGATAAACTAGAAATAGCAGGCATTACCGATCAATAGCAGTACCCCGTCCAGCTAAGTCTGGACAGTCTCTAGAATCATCAATCTATCAATCTATCAGCTGGTCCATGAAATGACATTTACTTGAAACTAATAGCTCTCACATAGTGTCCCAATAGAATTAATATGACATTACAGAATACGCCATTCAATGGTCATCTTCCGTTTCCCATTATTGATTGCACTTGAAATATTATTTCTCCTTACATCAGCAGTAGAATCTGAATAATGAGAGATTTAACCACACATGTTCAGAATTTTAAAACTGCAATTTATATTCACTTGACACATAAAAGTTTTCAAATATGCTGGTCTAATTTAAAAAAAAATGTGGTAGAATATTGCTTTTTTTTTCTTTTTTTTTTTTTTTTTAGCCCAGTGTGGAGGAACAGTAACAGGGCAAAGTGGCATCATTGAAAGCAATGGATACCCACATCTTCCCTATCCAAATAATGTATTCTGTCAGTGGCATCTCCAGGGCCTCTCAGGACACTATCTCACCATCCATTTTGAAGATTTTAACCTTCAGAATTCCTCTGGCTGTGAAAAAGACTTTGTGGAGATCTGGGAAAATCATACTTCGGGTCAGTGAAATATATCTGGTCTCTTGTGGGTTGTTTATTTTCAAATATGCTTATTCAGCCTCTGAGGTTTCTCTGCTTCTGAGAAAGACAAAAGAGGTCAGTCTGCTCTGGGCAGCACCAGCAATTCTCTCCCTCTATTCTGTCCTTTCACAATGGACACCCAAAGCCACAGGTGTGTTCCGTAGCTCATTCAGGAGACCACACTGAGAGAGCACTGTCCAGGGAGGATGTCCTCTTCCTGCTACGATCCCTCAGTGCCACATGCAGTTATTTGAGGGGCTCCCTGGAGCATAAATAGAGAAAAAGGTAATGTGTGCATGCCTCTTGGTATTAAAAGAGGCACACTTGTCACTGTTGGTTCTTGTCATTTATCTAACCAAATGAGCTTCCTCACCATGCTGAGACTTTTCCTTTAATCAGTTGCAGTTTTTGCTTTGTGCACATCGTCATGTATTTGAATATRTTGACTTTTTTTCATGATTTTTGTCATTTGTTATTTTCTTTATGCATGCAGAATATCTCAAACAGAGGTTAAATGAAATTAATCACTTGGAGATACACACACAGACACACACACACACACACACATATATGGATACATCTAATTCTTTGTCTATCACAGGAAATGCTTTGGGCAGATACTGTGGAAGTGCCATTCCTGATGACATAGACACTTCTAGCAATGTTGCTTCGGTCAGGTTTGTCACAGATGGTTCCGGCATTGCCCCAGGGTTCAGGCTGCGGTTTGAATCCAGCATAGGAGGTGAGTTCATTGATTCATTTTTAAAAAGGTGTTGATTACGTATAATGGATAGGCACTGGTGGTAACATAGTTTGAAAAATAAAGAATAACCCTTGGACCTTATGGTTAGTAGGGAGGCCTATGTTTATTTCCAGTCACACCAATAAATGAAAAATTGCCAGTGTGATAGGGGATACAAAGAGAAGTAATTAGGATCATGAGAGATGTAATATGGGCACTAGAATTATACTGTGGTGCACATTTTAAGAAGTATAGTCTATGAGTCCTAGAGTTATTCAGGATTGGCATTCCCAAATACTCTGACAAACCCAGGTAAAATAAAGATCGTTGTCTAACCAAACTGAATAATTACATTAGCCTGTTTAAGTTCAATATATTTATTGGTCTTTCATGTATCTTGGGCCTTGATGATAATTAAAATTTAACTAGTGAACTATCATCCATGAAAGCAGATTAAATGTTAATAGGGATCAGAAGTGAATACAAATGTTCTCTAGAAGTGTTCACAAACATAAAGTGATAAATTAGTAAAGACAATTATTTCGTCTAGAGGGATAATTAAAAATTAATTTTGAGAGGTTGGAGCTGTAGCTCAGTGGTGGAATGCCTACCTAGCCTGTTTGAGGCATTGGGTTCGATCCTCAGCACCACATAAAAATAAATAAAGGTATTGTGTCCAACTACAACTAAAAAAAAATTAAACAAAATTGATTTTGAGAGCAAAATTATGGAAGGAGTCACTTTGATTTGATTGAAAGTTTTTCTATTCTTTCCCCTGTTTCAGTGTGTGGTGGGGATCTACAGGGCCCAACTGGAACATTCTCTTCTCCCAACTACCCGAACCCAAATCCTCATGGCCGAATCTGCGAGTGGAGAATCACTGTGCAGGAAGGAAAGCAGATCAGCCTAACTTTTAACAACCTGCGGCTAGAAGCTCATCCATCCTGCAGTGCTGAGCATGTGACTGTAAGTGCTCTGTACCATCAGAGATATTATATCTCATTGTTTAGGGAGTTTATTGTTCCATAAATCATACTCTAAAAACTAGGTCAGAATTTTGCCATCTATGCAACTATATCTCAGACAAATTCTAAGTATTTCAGAGAGAACAAAATCACTATAATCCACCAACATAATTGGAAGAATTGCTCTGAGGGCCTATCAGTTGTCACTCTGTGTATCAGGATAAGGATAAATTTTTAAGGATATATTTATAAGGATAAATTTTTTAAGGATATAATTATAAGGATAAATTTTTAGAGCAAATAAATGTCTGTTACATATGGCAAAAAATTGTAGGCAGAGAATCTGGACCTTAGGTAGCACATGGCTGGAAGGGACCAGAGTCTCAGCACAGGCTACCCGATAAGGACTTAAGCAGCTGTGTGGTTCAGTTCTGAGGGATTCTTAGTGGAAGGCCAAGGCTACCTGCCCTCCAAGTCACCACCTCAAATAGTTAGAAGTGTTGCTTTTGCAGTCTTTGTTATCTTGGTAAATGATTTTAAGTTCCATTTGCTTAGATCAAAAGTAAATTTCTTCCTTCTTTCCTTCCTTTTTGCAGTGCTAGGGTCTTGTGCATGCTGAAGGACTGTGAGTGGGTCAGGAGATTGCTGGTTCTTGAACCCAGGGTTCCACACATACTGGGCAAATGCTCTGCCACCGAGTAACATCTCTAGCCCTTAAGTCTTAATGTCTATTTTGGAGCCCTTGGTCTCATACCCTATGTTGCATCTAGAAGTAAGTCCCACTGGCTACATCTTTAAAAGATACCCAGATTCTAAAAACTCATCATCATATCCACAATGACCACCAACACCACTCACCTGGATCATTTCACCAAATTCCAACTGGTCTTTCTACTTCGACCCTTGACTCCCTACAGTCTCAATAACAGCAGCTAGAATGAGGGTTTCAAACCTGATCAAATCACGTTGTTCCCTTCAAAATTCTTTAATGTCCTTTYATCTCACTCAGAGGAAAATCCCAAATCCTTATGGAGACCCACCCAGCCTGACATTATTTGCTGCCTGTCCCTTTTCTACCCATGTCTCTCATCTCAAACTCCTTTCTGCTCAAGAGGATCCAGCCACCCTGGCCTCTTTCCTGCTCCTTGAACATGAGATGCTCCCCCATCAGGACTTCACAGTTACTGCCGTCTCTGTGGTTCCTCTACAGACGGCTGCCTGGTTCACATCTTCACTTTGTTAGGGTCTCCATCCAAATGATCTTGATCCACGGAGATTTCCCTAAGTAGAACCCACACAGGCTTCTCACTTCCCTGMGTTTTTTTTCCACACCAGCTGGTATAGCTCMTATTTATTTGTTCATCTGTTCATTGTCTGTTCCCACCAGTAGAATGTAAACTCCATGAGGGGAAACACTTGTTTTCAATTACTGCCGAATCCCCCGCATCTGCCCATCATAGAAGTAATTATTATTGAATGAAAGAAAAGTGAAAATACCATTGTTAGCCTTTTAAGCCCTTTTATCGGTTATCATTTTAATCATCCACTATTGCATAGCAAATTTCAAAAATGTGAAACATCTTGTGACATCCCAATCCCACTTTGTATTGCCCTGAAATGTTCACATTCAACTTTGATCCCAACTTCAAATGCCTAAAGGACTGAAATGTCTTTTCTCAGATATTGAAAATATGGAACTGGTATGTTTATTTTTAATTTGAGAGATAGTGGGCATTGGGCTAAAGTTGYTAATTTTAACAGACATTTTTTCCTATTATTGATTGAATAAGGATATAGAAAAAATGAAGTAGATAAAAGATTAAACACTCCCACCACACCATATTTTTATGAATTTTCTTATCTCTTCAAGGCAGTGCATAATTTTATATAGTAGTAATTATGATATAAATTCACTTGAATTCTAATTTTAATCTGTTTTTCTGATGATCATAAATATAATGGGTGTTTATTGAACAATATATGATGAATTCAGAAAGTGAAAATGATAACATTTTGGGATTCTAAACTTATATTCCTAAAATTTGAATGCATATGCTAACAGTTGCTTTTTCTCTTTGAAATCATTTTCATAGTTTAAATGGATTTGAATATCATGATTATTAAGAACCTACAATCAGAATGTGTTTGCATCCTATAGAAAAGATAAAATGAACAGTCATAGTTTTAGCATTCAAAGAATGAAATCAAAATTTTGACAACTACCACAAATTCTGAGCCAAGTCTTACTTGTCATGTAATCATTGATACCAAAGGCATCTGCTTCCCTACCCTTTTGGCTACTTCAGGCATTTGTGCCATTGTTTATAAGTAACATTCCTCCTCTGCGACTCCGTAGTTTTTTGATCTTGAACATCCAGCTATGTAGAATGAGGATTCGGCTCTTCACTAYCACCAGCGCTCATGAGGGGTATACGGTTTACATATTCTACCAACTTCCTTCCCCAGTATACATGTCACCACTTTTGTTAAATGTGTTTTGCAACACATTGTTTGCAACACATTGTTCTGATCATGTGAGCACCATTCACAACTAAGCCAAGTAGTGAAATACARTCACATTTGCTTGTGTTTTTCTAAGTAATGATGATAGTTGTATCCTTTTTATATTTTCTGCAATTTTTATGCATTGACACCAGTCCCTTTGCACTAATTCTTCCACACCTTTTGCACCCTGGGTGTGCATTCCACCTCATGTAATAAAATACACCTTGTTAGTTTCATTTATTTTCCTTTGTCCATCAGCTATAAGCCTGATGTCAGATGTTGTTTGGGGATTTTTCTCACCACTAAATTTATGAGTCCCTTTATTTCTCTCCTGGGTGGGGGTTCCTGTTTTTATGTTACTATACATTGCTTTTCTTCATTAATTTACTGTTTTTGGTGAGGTAAATGCTCTTGTAAGTCCCTAAGGAACTTTACATGGGTGACTAAATTTTTGAGAACCTGTATAGTATACCTGAAATCAACCTTATTTTATCCTCATTTTTTGGAATGCACATATTCAAATATTACATATATTCAATATATTTATATTTATATGACTATATTAATCATAATTTTGAAGTTTTGTGTTGCTTCTTTGGGGATTAATTTTCAAGTTCCTGTCTCCTATTTACTGATATTGGTCTCTGCTTTTTATAGTAGATATTTTGCTAATATCTGATGATCCTTGGCTGTTCATTCATTCCCGCCAAGAAAGAGAGAAAGARAAATGAAAAGGAAAGGGAAAGGAAGAAGGAAAGAAAAAGAAACCCTTCCTAAGATCTGCAGATGGGGTGGACAGCTCTTAATGCACCCAGCTTTTCWACATCTTATCCAGCTGAACTGAGCATAAAATACCTCCAAATCCAGCCGCGTCTCTGACTCTGTTAAGACAGGGAAAATGAAAGCTATACCACCAAGTGTGTACCACAATGAGCCCCATGTCTGATATTGTTCATGCTCACAGCAAATTTAAKACCTTGTCCCGAATCTCATTTGCCYACTTCTACCCTGTTGTCTTCTTGGAGTCGTAGTTTCTGAGTACAAAAGGGATTAGAGGGTCAAGAATGGAATAGCACCCTGGTTGCTCCTAAAGACAGAAATCCATGTGATAAATGGATGACTGCACAATTTTGARTCATTGTGATTCCACACCAGGGGAAGACACAGGCAGGCACAGAGGCCATTTCCAACATGTTCCATTAGTCTTGTCGTTGGTTATAATCCTCTTTGATTCTGGCAATGTGTTGCTCATTCCTGTTTCCAGTATTAGTGAAATATTTGTCATCTTCTGTTTTCTTTATTCTGTGGTTCAGCATGTGAAATCGGAGTTTGAATCCTAGTTTAAATATTCCTAGTCCTTTAAACTTCAGAAAATTGCAAATCTTTCTGTATTCTAGCKCCTCWGTTTGGATCATGGGGTGCTAGTACRTGCCTGAGAGGGTGTGGTGCTGATTGAACATAAGAAAAGCTGTCGTTATGTTTGCTCAATAYATCATAGAAAATTCTTCATCTATTCTGTAACCCGGAAGACCTTTGAAACCTGAAGCCCTCAAAGAGCAAAATTTATTCATCAAAACTATAGTAAATAAAAATCTTGCATCTCCTGTACTAGAGCCTTTTCTTCTCCTGCACAKCTTTAGTGTCATAGTAACATGAGTCCTTCTTTCTAATTGTGAGCCACTCAAATATTTTTTWAAAACAGGGGTAGCAAGCACTCAATCAATGAATTATTATTTACTTATCTCTTTTGGCTCTATTTCAAACTCTGAAAARTGAGGCAAGCTAAAATATTCACTTGGTTTTGTATAGCAGCAAAGTGATATTTTCCTACTTTATAACTATGCAAATAAGTAGAGATATTGGTTAATATTTTGGAGTCAATATTACTCTAATTTATTCTTCAACCRTCAAATGAGTTAAAAAATGAAGTCTTGAATCCATAAGTAATTAAGAAGGAGCTGTTATATTTACACTGAGATTGATTTTTAAATTACTTTTCAAGGTGTTTTAAAATATTTGAGTTATTATATATTACGAATCACTAGAGATTAGCATTTAAGCTTTCTTTCCAAATACCAAAGGCCCTAATGCATTTTTAAAGAAAAACTATCCATCAGTGAACTCTGTGATCTATCACATAAGCAAGTGGCACATGTACTTCACATGTGTAGCACCCATTCCCTGTACAAAATATGTAGCAGTCATTCACTGGCCAGCACATACAGTAAGGGGCACTACTACAATACTTTGACTTTAGTGAAATGACTCTGAGGTCACAAAATGTGCTGGGGTAACACAGTTGGTGCGTGGTACTGAGAGTCTGTTAATTGTTAAGCAATTCATTTTAGCACAGCATTGCCTTAGACGGAAGTGGCCTAGGGCTACAATGTCTTCTAGAAATATTCAGTGACAAGRACTGCATTGCTCAAGGTTTAATTATTTTTCTAACAGGTATTCAATGGCATTAGGAGTAACTCACCCCAGCTAGAGAAACTGTGCAGTAGTGTGAATATAAGCAATGAGATAAAATCTTCAGGAAACACAATGAGAGTGGTGTTTTTCACGGATGGATCCCAACCATATGGAGGTTTCATTGCTTCCTACACATCCAGCGGAGAYGCAGGTAACTGGGTGCTACAGATGCATCTCCCCTTAGTAAGAAGTATTACAGATGCCGCACAGTCTGCCAGGACCAGAGAAGYTGTCTATGTTTTCTTGACTGGTTATAGCTGAGATCCTAACATAAGCTAACACTCATAAACAAATTAAAAAAAAAATTAATCCCAACAGAAAAAAAAAGCCTTCTGATTTCAGAAAGAAAACTGCTATGATGAATTACAGACTTTAAAAACATGACATTAGATGAGCTTCTAGCACAATTACACATAATTTGCATTACTATTAGAATTAGATCCATATCCACAGTCCCTGGTCAATTGTTTTGTGCTGAAGAGACTRTACACCTCTTAGAAGGTAACTTAGYCCCAGAGAGTAATTAATTTTATTTGGGCAGAACATACTTTATGGTTTCTTAGTTACCTATCCACATACATATTTACAGCAAAAATGAACAGAGGGGTTCACATTTGATATAGAATATTTCAAAATTAGGTAAGATGTGGCTTTCAATTATAGATATTCTACTACTTTTTGGATTGGTGCTGTTATCTAAGGGTTTTTAAATTTAGAAGTGGAAGTGATTATATAAATACATATGTAGTGAATATATGTGTGTTTATATACACTTATGTGTATATACTCCTATATGTGTGTGTATATACATGTGTATATATACATGTGTATATATGTATACACACACATATGTTCACTGGCACTACAGTGTTATGTATATTATCTATKTGATCCAATTATATTCTTGGGTCATGTAAAGAATTGCCAATCAGAAGCCACTGGGACCTACCACCAACATATGTGGTATTCATTTAAATTAAATGTGAATGAAYGATAAGCCCAAATTTGGAGGTATAGTCACACAGCCAAACCCAACCTCTAACAGGGAAATAAAGAAACTTTAGTTTTGCCGGTTGTTCCTTTATTCATCCACATAAATTTCTTCCATTATTTGCATGTTCTTTGTGTGCAGTCCTGACTGCAAGTCCACACAGAAACGGTGCTCTTGTTGTTTCGGTTACTGTTCCTGGGGTGTTGGCATCTTCTGGTAAGGGCAGAATCTCACTGCTCCTTTCTCTKCTGCCTTTTGCTTCGTAGTGTGTGGCGGGTCTCTGACCAACAACCCTGAAGGGAACTTTACTTCTCCTGGCTACAACGGAGTCAGTAATTACTCAGGAAACCTGAAYTGTGAATGGACTCTCAGCAATCCGAATCAGGGAAATTCCTCCATTTACATTCATTTTGAGGATTTTTCCCTTGAAAGTCACCAAGACTGTCAATTTGATGCCCTTGAGTTTCGAGTGGGTGAGTTTAATCAAAGATCACACTTTCACTTATCTGTGATTTTCTTCTTATGCCTGGAAACCACCTACCAGGAAGCAAGTCAAATGGCTATTGCAATCTACTTTTTGGATTGGTGCCATTATTTAAGGGTTTTTAAATAAGATGCAGGTGAGGAAAATGAGCCTTCTGAAGTCATATGGATCTATGTTTWCAACTAGACTGCACTACAGTTGATTGGTTTCCTAGTATGTGACACTCATCCAAATAGATTCTTTAATTATCCTGTACTATTAAAGACTCCTTCCTTAGGAGACTAGAACTTAGCACAGTCAGAATGTGTTGGCAGCTGTTTTAGTCAGTGTTTTTGCTGCTGTGACTAAAAGATCTGAYCAGAACAATTTTAGGGGAGGAACAGTTTATTTAGAGGCTCATGGTTTCAGAGGTCTCAGTCCATAAGTAGCTGGCTCCATTCCTCAGGGCCAAGATGAGGCAGGCATCACGGTGGAAGAGTGTGGCAGAGGGAAGCAGCTCATAGGATGATTAGGAAGCAGAGAGAGAGATTCCACTTGCCAGATACAAATGTACACCCCAAAATCATTCCCTCAACATTCTACCACCTCCAGTCACACCCCACCAGCCTTCAGTCACCACTCAATTAATCCCATCAGGCAATTAATTCATTGATTGGGTTAAGGTCTCATAACCTAATCATTTCTTCTCTGAACCTTCTTACATTGTCTCTCATGTGAGTTTTTTGGGGATACCTCACATCCAAACCATAACAGCAGCTTACTGAACTTATAAGATTCATGAGGAGTCCTTCAAATTCTRCTTAGGTATTAGAGGCGTAATGTGGGGCTGGAGATGTGGCTCAAGCGGTAGCGCGCTCGCCTGGCATGAGTGAGGCCCAGGTTTGATCGTCAGCACCACATACAAACAAAGATGTTGTGTCCGCCGAAAACTAAAAAAATAAATATTAAAATTCTCTCTCTCACTTGCGCTGTCTCTCTCTGCCCCCCCCCTTCTAAAAAAAAAAAAAAAAGTTTGTAATGTGGTGGAGAGGCACATGGGTTCTATTTGGGGGAATTATCCCCCAAGCAGTTAGGATTGTCTTTGTTTTCACGAGAGAAAAGGATCGAGGTATATTTGGTAAACCATCATTTTGTTAAGAATTTTAAAAACTGTCTTCATGGAAAATGAATCATTTCTTAGCATCAAGGCAGAGGTTATCCATTAAGTTGCTCCTACTGTCACACTGACACTTGTTTCCCAGTAAACACTAAGTAGATAGAAGAGGAAAACAATATTGTGGGCAACCTATACTGTCAAAGTTTGCAGAGTACAACTTTATCCCAAAATTTAAAAAAAATGAAAGCCCAAATGGGAAGTTAGTTTATTGGTGCAGATGCCTTGAAATTACAAAAGTCAGTGGTATCTAGCTGCCTTTGAGAACATGAAAGAGAGAATTTTCAAGAAGGAGAACATGGAGAAGTCTATGGTGACAGACCAAGGACTTCAAGAAGAGAAGTTTGGTTTTTAATATTTTCTCTTCGACCAAGCTCTATAAAACTGATGAGTCTAGAAAAGCCTTATGAGGGAAATGGAAGTTATAGTCTGAGAATGTTCTCCATGAGCCAGGTGTGATGGCACACGCCTATAATCCCAGCAGCTTAAGACACTGAGGCAGGAGGATCACGAATTCAAAGCCAGCCTCAGCAACTTGGCAAGACCCTGTCCTTAAATAAAAATGCATAAAAGGGCTGGGGATGTGGCTCAGTTGTTGAGTACCCCTGGGTTGCATCCCTGGTACCAAAAAAAAAAAAAAAAGGGTTCTCTCTGACATTCTGAAAAACCTTACTTCTGTGGTCTGTAGGATCAAGCAGAACAGCTGTATGTTAAGTTCCATCAGCTAAGTGCAATCTTCTCTTTATTCCCTCAGACTTAGACATAGCTAACATGTAAACTTCATTGATTCATAAGGTCAGTGATGTTCATTTGACAGAACAAATAGAAAGAAGATAAATGTGAGCTCTCTAGGCATTCTGTAAATCTGAATCAGATTTCTCAAAAAGAAATGTTCATAAAAACATATCCAGCTCAAATCAGACAGGTCTTTAYCTGAGCACTAAATACTCTATTCATTTTAGTTGATTGAATACAGCAAAGAAATCTTCTAAATTTTAGGCAATTATCATCTTCATGTATTTTTTATCATTATTGTGTCAAATTTCTTACGACCTACAAAAAAGGGTTTTTTTTATTAGTTGTATCTCTGTTTAGATATGCTGAAGTGATTATGAAAAAACAAATTGGAACAAATTGGCATCTATGGTAGAAATACATCTACACCAAAACAGAACTTTTTTTTTTGTTGTTGTTTTTTTGCTTTACTTTGTTGGAGGAACTCTTTGTAATGGACAAGATGGGGAGGAACTTTGTGCAATGTCTGTGACAACATCAGAATTTAAATGGGTCAATTAATATCTTGAAATGTTTCTATGATTTATTCCTACAGAATCCATTACATATGTTTCTCAAAAGTTATGCAAATAAYGGCACTTGGTGTATTATTTTGTTCAGGTGATGCTGATGGTTCCCTAATAGGGAGATTCTGTGGCCCCAAACCTACCCTGCCATTGGTTATACCTCATCGTCAGGTGTGGATACAATTTGTTACCAATGATCGCATCGAATATCCTGGATTCCTCATAAAGTATTCCTTTACAGGTAAGACTAATGATTCAGATCTCAATATCTGGCAATAACRTGATAATTAAAATTTTGGTTTTTTTTCCATAAAAATATTTCATGTATTTTGCTAGATGTATTTCTAGGCAACTATTAGTTTTGCTTCCAATGTCAACAAGATTTTCCAAATTGTGTTTAATAATTGGCTGTTGCTGATACCTAGGAAATTTATAAGTTTTATATATTTATCTTTATTTTAGAGATCTTGCTATACTCTTTTTGGTTTTAATATTTTTTATCTTTGAGTCTCTTTGTTTCTTCTGTATTCCTCCAATTCCTAGTGTACAAAATGTATTTTTTAAATAAGAAATGTGTATAAGATTTTATCAACTGTTTTCAGCATCTATTGGAATGCTAGTTTTTCTTCCTTTCACACATTATTGTGACAAATTTTATTGAAATATTTTCTCTTGGTAAACTGTTCTTGAGTTGCTGTGATAAACTATACTTGGTTATGATGTATGTTTTGTTCATGTGACTGCATATTATGAGCTAATATTTTATGTTGTATTTGCATCTCTGACATTCAGTGCTTACACCCAAAAAATTCAGCCCCYAGAGTGCAGCTTCCCTTGGTTATTAAATTYTTTTCCAGTCCCTTTCCACTAACATGGTAGTCCTTTTAGATTCCCAACTTTATGTAAACATCCCAATTCCATGTTTTCTGTGGAAGTCCCTAAACTCTCTTATCSCAACTTCATGGCCCACATCTTTATTCTTTAGTCTCTTTAGTCTCTCAGACAACCACACTGTTTGAGATTGCCCTTGTGAACTTGAGTACATTTATTGCTGATCGATTTTTGAAGACCCTTTTTCCTTTCCATTGAATTTGGCTTTGTTTTGGTTATAGTTTTGTTTATTTTTATTTTATTATTTTTTTTTTGTGTGTGTGTGTGTGTTATATCCAAATGGCTGCTTGGAGAAAGGAGTGAAATTGATAGTAATGGACTCAATCATCTTGCCTGTCATGAGCCATCCTTGGGTTGTGTGTGGACTGTGTTGTGCATCGTAGCCTAGTGAGGGGATAAGTCTGGCACTGGGAACTTCCTGTGGCACCCCCCCAGAGATTGATGGCCTGATGCAGGTGAACTGCCCCCTCAAGCTCAAGCTCTGCCAAACATCCCACACAGCACCTGAGATGGGTGTGACCTGCCAAGATGCCAATCAACCTGAGGATTGCAAGACATCACAAAGCAACACTCCACCCTTGAAACTTTATCCCTGCCTTTGATGCCCCCCCCCTTAAATAAACCTCTGGAGACATCTTTGTCTAGTTCCAGCACCCATGTGGACTAGGTCTGTCAGGGGCTTTGCTTTATGTAAATATCTTTCTTACTGTTTGTGTTTTGTTCTTCACTTATTAATTTAGACTTTAAGTTTCCAGATGGCTTCTATCCTCCTCAGCAGGAAGAAGAACCCTCCAGTGAGACACTGGCCATTGTCCCCCTTACTTGCCAGTTGATTTTTCTGTATCAGATTAAAAAAGAAGAATCAGGCTCCAAGGAGCAGTATTATTTGTGTTGAACATCAGGTCATGCTATGCTCTGCTATGATTTGTTAATATGTCATTTGATACCTGACTATGTGCTTATTATAAAGCAACAAGGTATTTAATTATGGGACCGGTCATTTCTTCAAGCTCACATGTGTTTTCTCTAGCCTAGTTTTTGCTAGAAAGGTGATGTTACTTACTTTGTCTCTCGTGCARTTACTGTCAGTTATCTTCCTTCTCCTTTGTACTAAACCTAGGGCTGTCCTCACTACGTGGTTCTGTTCAGCCAACACTATTTGGGAATCTGTTTCTATTCTTTCATCTAACTTTGCTTTTGTGCCAGTTTCATTTATTTATTCATTTATCATATTTTTATCATAAAGTATGATGACTATAAGACTACTATGGCTTTACAGGTCCCCCCGCTTCTTCTATCTTATGTAGACGGTTGCAAATCTGATTTCAGATTGTGGCGGAATACAGACAGGTGAGAGTGGAGTGATTACAAGCCCCAACTACCCAGACTCTTATGACAGCTTCACCCACTGTTCTTGGTTGTTGGAAGCCCCTCCAGGACACACCATCACTGTGAGTTCTTATTACTGTGTAAAATATTTCCATATCCATATCATGGAAATTGGCTTCTTTTAGTATACAAGAGATCAGTGTAGGCTTTGATTCTGTGGACAGATCATTATTTCTCTCTAAAAATGCTCTCATTACAGTATCTACAAGTCTATAATTAATGAAGAATGCTATCTTTTTTTCAAGTCTAGAAGAAGTTGTACATAGAAAATATTTCTACATTCAGGAAAGAGGTGTRTTCGTGTTCTTGATGAGCTTTCATTCATGTTCCTGATGAGCTGGGGTTCCAGAGCTTCTCCACTTCCTGGAGAAATAGCCCATTTAAACTTTCAAGAGAATCGTTGATAAGGAAATAGAGAGGAGGGGAGAGGAGAGTTAAAGAAAGGGCAGAAATAAAAGATTATGTGAATTTAAATGAAATAAAAAGATTTATAAGGACCTTGTAGGTCACTCATAGCACAGAGCACCTCATCATTTCTTTCTTTTTCCACAGCTTACATTCAGTAGCTTTGATGTTGAAAGACATGTAGCTTGTGCCTGGGACTCCGTCACTGTCAGGAATGGTGGCTCCCCTGGATCACCTATCATAGGACAATACTGTGGAGAGTCAAACCCAGAGACAATACAGTCTGGTTCCAACCAGCTCGTGGTAATTTTTAACTCTGACCATTCAGTACAAAAAGGTGGATTTTATGCTACATGGAGCACACAGACTTTAGGTAAAGGAAACTCTGCACTTGTCTTCTTTTTGCAGTGGTGTCTAAATTTATTTAAAATACAGTCATTCTTTGGTATAACTGAGAGGGATTGGTTCCAGGACCCTAATGGATACCCTAACCTGTGGAAGCTCAAGTCCCTTACATAAAATGTTTCAGTATATGTGTAGAACCTGTATGTATCCTTCTATATATTTTAAATCAGTTCTAGATTACTTATAATACCTAATTCAATATAAATTCTATATAAATATTTGTTATAGGAGGCTGGGGTTGTGGCTCAGTAGTAGAGTGCTTGCCTAGCATACATGAGGTACTGGGTTTAATCCCTGACACCACATAAAAATAAAAGCAAATAAAAGTATTGTGTCTATCTACAACTAAAAATTTTTTAAAATAAATACATATTTGTTATAATGTATTATTAGGGAATAAGGGCAAGGAAAACAGTTTGTACATGCTTAATGCAGATGCAAGTCTTTCTTTTCAGTTCTTTCTGATTCATGGTTACTTAAATCCATGGAAACAGAACTGCCAACATAGAGGACTGACTACACACATTTTGTATCACTTCTATATTGGATTCACTTCCAATATTCCATGCACCAACTCTAGGAAGATAACACAGTATTGATACATATCTTCCCTATTTTGCATAGGCAGAAACTGAGAACGAGTGAGCTCATCATTTGCTCAAGGCATATAGCTGATGATTTGTAATCAGGATTTCAATAAAAACAATTGAGCCCAGAAGTTGAACACTGCATGATGCATGCTCCATTAGCAAAAGGGCACAGCACAGCCAGGGAATCTCGAGTACTAGAAATAAATGTTGGAATCACAACTAGTTTAAAATATTTGGCCCTMAAAGGTAGAATACTGAGAGTGTTCAGGACAGGAAAATAAGTAGTTCGCATCATGATGAGCCTCAGTTTATGTATCTCCCCATGAGCAGTGGGAACTACTGGAAGGTTTTGAGGAGGAAGATGGCAAGATGAGATTTGTGATTTAGAACAAAAGCAGTAGCACATGGGAACTGAACCAAAGTATAGCAGATTTTATTTAAAAAGAGTAACTTTGGTACCTATAAATTTTCAACCTTGTAAGAATACTCAGAAAATAGGACTTATATATTTAGGATTTTAACAAACCCTAATATCGCACAGGACCATTCTTTCTAGTAGAGTCAGAGTTACTAGGGAGATCTTTGTAGAAGGAGTTGAACTTTCCCTCATTAAATCACTGCCTACGATTAAAGTCATAMGGAATAGATGAACCCCCGGGGTGCTGAGAGCTTAAAAGCAAAGCTGAAGGAATGTTGTTTAATTAAACTTCATTTTGTTTTGAGTTCATATTTTGGCCATCTTTTTTCTTTTTTGGTGCCAAGAGTTGGACTCAGGGTTGCTTAACCACTGAGCCACATCTCCATCCCTTTTTACATTTTTATTTAGAGACAGGATCTCTCYGAGTTGCTTAGGGCCTTGCTAAGTTGCTGAGGATGGCTTTGAGCTTTCAATTCTCCTGCCTSGAGCTTGTGAGCCRCTGGGATTACAGGCGTGYATCACCACACTGGTCTGGTCATCTATTAAGTACCCATTTCAAGAGGGTGAAAATAATTCTAAATTTTTATTTCTTCAAATCATTTATTTACACCCATCAGTCAGTTTCAATATAAATGAACCAGATTGTTTAATAAAAGAATTTTCCCCAACTCAATATTACATTCTCTCTAGTCCTGTATTTAAAGTAAAATTACAAATGAGTATAGAGTTGCAGTCCCATGTATTAGTGGTAATAAAATACAGAACTTGACCTTGACAGGCTGTACACTCTAGACTGAGATCTTGTAGTGTTTCTTTTCTAGTGGTCTTGAGTTTCCAAAATTGTGATTTCTCTTGAAGATGGATGAYGTTTTTCCATGAAATTTTTTTCAGGTTGTGGTGGAATATTTCATTCAGATAATGGTACAATCAGTTCCCCTCACTGGCCTCAGGATTTTCCTGAAAACAGCAGATGTTCCTGGACAGTCATTACTCACGAAAGTAAACACTGGGAGATCAGCTTTGACGGAAACTTCCGAATCCCCAGCGGTGATGGACAGTGTCAGAACAGCTTTGTGAAGGTCAGTGCTTTGGCTTACTCAATTGGAGTCACACTGGTTCTGTGAACATAAATRTTTAGGCTACCCATGCCAGGAAGCCACTTTTTAATGTGAAAAAGGACAGATTTGCTGCTTGGATTTCTTGGGTGTAAGTGAGAAATCGCAACTTATTAGGAATTAARATAKGAAGCACAGCACACAGGTCACCCTRTGATTTTTCATTTGCTAATAACTAGGTAAATTAAGGAAATTTTTGTCTGACCTTAGTAAATTCTCATAACCATGAATGGTTCCTCCTTTCTGTGGAAATGAAGGAAAGAAAACCAGCTTCCTTCCTTCTTTCCTTCCTACCTTCTCTCTCTCTCTCTCTCTCTCTCTCTCTCTCTCTCTCTCTCTCTTTTCTCTCTTTCACTTTAAAAGATAATTCTCTTTACAGTTCAAGGCACCATCACAGTCAAAATTTAACATATTCTATAAAAATGGGAGAAGGTTGGAGAAGGAGCTAATGCCAACCTTCATCCTGGGCCTTAAGGACCAACAAACTGAGAAGACCATGAGACACCCACATAAACATGGAGGCAGTCAGCAAGTTTCTCTCTCTAAGTTATAAATACTGTTCACACAGCACTGACATTTCACTACCCGTGAACAGGACCATGATGATTGAATCATGAGTGCATTTGACCTGTGCTATTTTGCATCTTACATGTTTTATCTCTAAGAGACACTCCTTTTAGTAGAAAGAACATTGGCCTTAAGATCACATTGGCTTGGATATTATTTCTCTTTCTCAAACTTATTACCTGTCTGTTTTATTTATGAGCTAATTCAACCAACGCTTGGGCTCCAAATTATTCAACTGTAAAATGAAGASAAATATTTCTACTTTAGTCAGGCTGTTTTAAGCATTAGAGTTAATATGATATAGTAACGTACATAGTACTCAGTACATGGATATAAAATTGCTTAATGAGTAGAAGTAGCTCTTATTGTTAATGTTATTATTTCATATCATCTCTGGAATTATGTTTTATACCTCATTGATCCATAGTTCCTATTTAAATGAAAATCCAATACTTACAGAAGTAGAGGCATTATAAACCACATTTAATATATACTTTTCCTAATTGCTTTTTTCATGAAGCAAGTGAGCTCTCATCTCATGAAATGAGTCAATATCATGGGTACAGACTGAAGAAAAGCCTTGTAAGTTCTCCAGTTGTACAAACAAAATCTGAAAATGACCTGGACTCATTCCTTTTCTGGAGAGAAGTCCCTCTGACATCATGATGAAGCCCAACACCAGTGGCAAATGAGATCATTTGGGGGCCTTGTCACCATAATTGCCAGAGGAAGCAGTCTTTTTCTCCTGGGGGGCGGGGATCTAAGACACCTGCCTCTTCCAAGAAAGGCTGAATGTAAATAACTAGTAAAGGAATGTAGCAAATGCAAACAGCCTTGTGTGGGTARCCCCTTTGTGCCTATGAGCCCAGAACTCTCCTCCCTACCCCAGAGACAGAAGGACAGATGAACAGAATGAACATCCTGTCCATTGGTCCAAAATGCCTGTCTCCACAAGCCAGAAAGACTACTACCCAACCCAAAGACATTGGGTCATACAGGAGCCATACCTAAGGGAATTGTACTAGACCCTTATGCTTCAATTGAGAAACACMTGGAGGCCCAAACATATAAAGTATCCTCTACCTACTCAGGTAGCCCTAGGTGCTCCAGTAGCAGCCAATAAACCAAGCAAACCAAAATCACACCGCAAAGATTATGAAAAGTTAAAGAGCCATTGGAACCATACCCCATCAAATATGCAAGACTACATACTAAACATAAACATATAAATAAGATCCAGAATCTTCTAACATAATTAAGTGTATACAATTTAAAAAGAATTAAGAATAATAAGAATTAAGAAGAACATCAGGACTTGAGTGAGAAAAGACAAGTGATGCCAACACTGAAGTAAATCAGGTGTTGGACTCATATGGCAAGGATGTCATAAAAATACTCTGCAACTACTGACAAGTTCTCTTGAAACAAAAAAGAGAATTTCAGTAAAGAAACAATAGTTACCATGAAGGAATAAATGGCAATTATAGAATTGAAAGATACAACAATAGAAATAACTTACTGGTAGTTCAATAGTGAAGTGGACATTACAAAGAGTAGAATCAATGAGGTTGGGGACAGAAAAACAGAGTAATGCACCCCATCTGAACAATAAAGAGAAAATAGACTTAAAAAATCACCAAGGAAGCCTTAGAGACCCATKAACAATAACAAATGGTGGGACATTCTATCACTGGAGTGCCCCAAAGAGAGGAGAATACATTCGAAAGACGAGACACAATGAAGTGCTAAAATAAAAGAATGGTCACTCATAAATTTAGTATCTGGAAAACYATTCCTCAGAACTAAGAGGAAAACAAAATCTTGTCACATAAAGAAAACAAAAAGAAATGATTTCTAGGGGACCTCCCACTAAAGACTGTCTAATGGAAGTTCTTCAGATGAAATGAAATAAGAAGAAATTCTGTAGCATCAGGAAGGAAGAAAGGACATGTGCAGAGAAGAAATGTGGACCTACAATAGAATATCCTTTATAAGTTTTATGAAGGATAGTGATAATTTTAAAAAAGATTATAATGCCCTCTGATACTGAATACAATGAAAAATTGGTAAGATAAAGGGACCTAAATGGAGGGTATATTACACTTCGCTCAAAATGGTCTAATGTGGAAGCCAGTAAACTGTTAAAATCACATGTGTATGTTGTGATACCAGGAACAATAACAACTACCAAAATTATATAGAGAGATATACACCAAAACACCATTCTTCAATCAAAATGGAATCTCCAGGAAGTCAAGAAACAGAGAAGTACATAGAAAGCAAACAATAAAATATCAGACATAGCTTAAATGTATTTATATCAATATTTTAATTGTAAATAGCTGAATAGCATTCATTGAAATACAGGGATTATTGGAGCCAAGCTATGGCCCAAGTAAGTGATAATAAATACAATTCAAATTCAACCACATAGTCAGTTCAAAAGTGAAATATATAAAAACATACACTATGCGCTTTTTTATGGATCCAACATGGCGGCCAGCGAGGAAGCAGCGACTCCAACGTCTCCACTTTAACGGGATATGAAAGACTCATCGAAACAGCTGCAGCCTAGCTACGGAGGAACTTCTAGCATAACTTCCTTAAGAGGAGAGCTGCCGTGAACTGGTAGGTTTACTCGAAGTGACAGGTTGCCCCAGAGAAGTGGATCTTGGAAGACCACGCGGGCACAGAGGTCTAGTCCCCCAACNAAAAAAAAAAAACAGTAGCTATACCATTACCTGATAACCTAGATGTTGGAGTATAGAAAGTCACTATAGAAAAAAAGGGATCTTTCATAATAGCAGAATCAATCCATCTGGAAGATATAATGATTCTAAATATGTATAATATAATAATAGTAATGTTTGAAAAAAATAGTGCATACAGACATCTTTCTCTCAGAAAGTTATACTCATAATTTTATAATATGTAGATATAAAAATTAGGAAAAATTTAATGAAGTTATTCCATAAAATTAGGGATGTTTTGGTAAAAGTCTTTTTATTGACATTTTTATTGGTCTTAGGCATTTAGCAGAATATCTGCATTTTTGTTCTTATTAGCTATGCTGCCAGGCACCTCTTATACCTGATAAATGGCTAGCATAATTTGTCTGCAAGCAAGATGACTAACCGCTGGATACCAGCATTTGAAAAATCAATTGAAATGATATGGCTTTAAAGAACAGAGAAATATTAAATCAGTGGAATGGTCAGGTGCTGTTTTCAGTTCTTCCCGTGGACTGATCTACAAACTGAAATCTTTTTATGACTTGATATCTTATTGTTCTTTTTAAGGAATATTCTTGAAAGATTTGATTTGGGAATGGATAATTTTGTATAATTTGATCTGAAGAGAATGTGGAATAGTAAAGTGGGTCTCATCCATAGCCAATTACCTTCTTGGGCCAGATAATTCTTTTTTTGTGTGGGGGGTGGGGCAGTTGTGGGGAGTTGTCCTTTGCACTGTAGGATGTTTATCAACATCCCTCCCTACTGGGTACTACCCTCACACACCAAATGTGATACTCTGAAATGCCTCCAGACATTGCCAAATGTCTTTTGGGAAACTCAAACCTCAGTTGGATAAGATTGATTGAAAGGTAAGAGAAAACTGGATAGTGATTGATCATTTTTTTAATCTCTGCCCAGCTACACAAAAGTAAACAATCCTCTTAGAGCAGTGAGAGTGGAGTGGGGGTATTTTAAAAGCAGCTTAAAAAACTATTCTCAAAAGAAAATATTGCAGATTTCCTCATGTTTCATTTACTATTGTTTTTTTGTAGATACCTGAGTATCATTAGTTTTGAGCTTAAGCACATTAAAACATAAGTCATGTTTATGATCCTGCTAGGTGTGGACAGGAACTGAAGAGACCAACAACGCCCTGTTGGCCACAAACTGTGGGAACATGGCTWCCAGGACCATTATTACACCCACAAATGCATTCAGGGTCGTCTTCCAGTCTCAGGAAGAGCCAGCCCAGGGCTTCTCCGCATCCTTCGTAAGCCGTAAGTAGCATTAAACCCAGAGGTTATGGAAAGAGTGTGGGGGCCACAGACAGCCTTGGAAAATGGTGGGAAGACTGTTCCAGGGTGACTTGAACTAGGAGATCCAAGGGGAAGAACATGGGTGAGTCACCTAATCCTGAAGGGACACCTTTCCTTCAAAATTCAGGGAGAATACAACTRAATTCAACAGTATATCAATTGAGAAATGGTGTAAAAGACATGAGTGCTACTAGCCAACATCTAAAAATAAGCCTAAGATCCAAAGTGAGTGTGTATTTGAYAGAAGCTCAGGTGGCTGGTAATGAGACATGCATGGGAACACTTTCATCACCTGTTTCAAAATCACCTGTGGGGCCTGGAAGAGCATGCACATTCTTGGGCATCACCCTAGACCCAACTGAACTGAGCATTTCCATGGGCGAGGGGTTTGCATGTTTAATCTTTATCCAGAAGCCTCTCATGTCATTCAACTTTGGAATCTGCTTTCTTGGGTGTTCCCTCTTCCTATCTGGGTACATGGGTCTGCTTCTCTGACTGCTAAACACAAATTGGGCTAATGGGAACTGCAGTAGTCTTCACGTCTGAGAAGCAATGGGGCAGCCTATTGGCTGAAATGATTAAATCAAGTAGCTACTAATTGCGAACCACTGTTCAGAAAAAAAAAAAAAATCCAGAAGAGGAATTAGAGAGACTAATAGTAAACAGGTATTTCTGACATGAATTGAAGGAAGTTGGTGGAAAGGATGTCATGAAAGCACAGGTCTTCAGATGGTTGATGGTGTGGTGCCTGTGTGTACAATTGTGTGTATTTTAATACCATTTAAAAGAATACAGATATTTTCATGCCTGATCTGTTAATGAGTGATATGAATTAACTGATTAGTGGTTATATGAAAACCAAATGCTATTTTAATAGTAGAAATATTTTTTTTCTTTATTTCTGACCCAAGGATTCATGTGAGAAGTTTGTGAGAATTGTGATTAGTAAATTCAACTTGTTTTTAAAAATACTAGCATTATTCTTATGGCTGGATTACAATAGTAACAAAAATAATGTAGTAATGTCATTCTCCAATTAGACATTTCAAAAACATTAAATGTACAAAGTACATTGCAAATCACTTTTACCTGTTTTATTTCTTTATCTCTGTGAACCACATTCAATCTCTGACATCCTTTTTTAAAAAGAAAATCTTCATATGAAGAAATTTACAGTGAATATGTGGTAAAACTTATACTACCTAGCACCTAAAATTCTGCACATTTTCTTAAAAAAAAGTCCTCTTTTTGTGTGTATGTTTATTTTTAAATAAAAGTTTCATGCTCTTAGTTATTGTTTCTTCCATTTGGAGTTTCCCAGGAAACTGTAACTAGAGAATTTGTGAAATGACATCTTTCTGTTACTGATAAAATAGACACCAGATGTGACAACAAATGTTCTGATGATGCCATTTTGCTCCCACATAGGATGTGGACGTAATTTCACTGGCCCTACAGGTAACATCATTTCTCCAAACTTCCCAAGGCCGTACGACAACAATATGAACTGCACCTATATCATAGAAGCTAATTCTCAGTCTCTGGTTGTCTTGACATTTGTGTCTTTCCACTTGGAAGGTAAGTTTATTCTTTTTGAAAAACTTAAATAATTTTAATTAAATAAAAACTATATGTGTATGGTGTACAACRTGATGTTTGAATATTTGCATGCATTGTGGAATTTCTAGATCAAGCTAGATGACATGTTAACACTCTACTTATCAGTTTTTTGGTGATGAGAACATTTAAAATTTCCTTTCAACAATTTTAAGTTAGACAATACATTGGTAWTAATTATAATCATGGTGGGGTGCAATATATTTCCTAAATTTAGTCCTCCTACAGAATAAAGTGAAATTTTGTATCCTTTGTTAGATAGCTCACCATTCCTCTTCCCCCAGAGTCTGATAACCACYGTTCTACTCTAGGTTTCTATAAGTTCATCTTTTTTGGATTTGACATAGAAGTGAGACCATGCGTGTCTTTCTATATACATGGATTATTTCACTTAGCATAATGTCTTCCAGGTTCATCCTTGCTGTCAAAAGGTCAGGGTTGCTTTGTTTTTAAAGTCTGAATACTATTTAATTGTGTACACATTTTCTTTCTTTTTTTTTTCTTTTTCTTTTCTTTTTTTTTCGGTGCTGGGCATTGAGTCAGAGCCTCACACATGCTAGGCAAGTGCTCTACCACTGAGCCACACCCTCAACCCCCACATTTTCTTTATCCACTGGTGAAYCCAGATTGTTTCCATGTCTCAACTATTATGAATAATGCTGTCATGAACATGGAAGAGTAAAAATATMTCTTTGATATACTGATTTCATTTCTTTTCGCCATTTAAACAGAARTGGAACTTCTTGATCATACAGTAGTCCTATTTTTAATTTTTTGAGAAACCTCCATACCATTTTCCATAATGGTTCTTCCGATTTACATTTCTACCAACAGTATAAAAGTGTCTAATTTCTCTAAGTTCTCCCAATATTTCTCTTTTGATAATAGCCCTGGAAGGCAGACTTATTCTTAAGCATACTATGAAAAAAATCTTAAGAAATTAATGAGGGGTAAGAAGAGGCAGAGATACTCTAAATCACCATTTGAAAAACTATATAAATAACATGTCATSTAAATGTGCATAAAGATCCAAATAAAGGATCCAACCATTTATTCAAAAACTTTCTATATATTCCATCCAGMAGTATACAAATAGTAAGAACTTTAAGGCCATATGCATCACATAAATTTTGTAAAGAAGATAAATCTGRAATGTGTTACATATTACCATAGCTTTTAATTTATTCATTTGTGTTTATTCTCTCCACTCTATTCACACCCACATTTTTGCACATACCACAAATTAACCAGAAAGAAACTGACTTATGGAGTCAAAATAGGTGTTTAATAAATATTGATTTGAGTGAGTTAACAAGATTAACATTTGTGGTTTGCTTCTATGAAATATTATCATGGGATACGCTTTCATCTCCTTTCTCTTTATGATCTTCTCCTAGTCCTTTTTCCTTAGTGTTGAGGCTCCTATCCACAAGCACAGTTATACAAAGCCTCTCTCTTTCCTTTTGCTATGACCTCATCTTTCCCTCTATCTCTGTAGCTTGATTTTTCTKCACATATGTTTGCCTAAAAATGCCAAATATAATTCATATTTGTCATTGTAAACATGTAAAATATAATGTCTTAGCATTTGCTGCCACAAAAGTCTCAGTAATGTAAAAACATGTTCATGATTCATTAAGTATTGAGGGAGGATAAAATAGTTTACATAAGATTATCTGATTTCTATTTTAAATAACATACATGTGAAAAAATTCTATAAGACTGTTAAATAGTACTTTAAGCATTATCAATGTGGGATAGATTTATAGGTKATATTTATTTTCTTTTCAATAAATTTATATTTTTATAATCAGGAGAGTTATTCTAATAACATAAAACATGTGTCTCATATTTTTCATTTGCATATATGCTTTTATTCCCAGTGAATTATATAAACATGAGAATGTCATGTGCCAATATCATTTAGACTCAAAAGAGGAGACATTAGTAAATATATTTCAATGCCACACAAAGCACTGCTGATATCAATGGCATATGTATYGCTACAAGGAACCCTATACCACCTTAAACAGTAGTCCCTGAGCTTTGTCAACTGGGTGGGAAAATGGGATAACACAGTGGAATTCCCAAGATTACATAATGGGAAAAAGCATAGCATCTTGGGATGTCTTAAGGCCAGGAGAGCCACCTACCACATGACTTTGCATAAATTACCTTTCTAGAGATAACCACTTTGCTTTTACACACACACTCACATGTTCATGTGCCACGWAATGATTTCTCAGTTGATGATGGACTATGTGAATGACAGTCTGTAATGTTATATCACCTAGTGACATTKTAACCATTCTATTTGTTTAGTGTACTTATACTCCATGATATTTTCACAAAGACACAGCCGCCTAACAACACATAGCTCAGAATCTGTTTCTCCACTGTTAGGAGATATGACTCTATGAAAAATAGTACCTGTGAAAGTCAGATAATGCCAGATTAAAGTGATTGCTACTTCCACTAATGGATATACTAATCCACACCCACTTGAAGAGACTGATCTTTTGGTAAAATGATATCCTTATGATATGTCTTCTGACATTTCCAGTGTTACAAGAACTCGATATTTTCACACTGCTAAGTGGATAATGCCTAGCTATAGACTAATTGAATTATGATGATTCTTTAAAAGGGCATCATTAATCAAATTTATTTTATAATTAGATTATTATCACTGACCATATCAGTAATGACATTTATCGGATGCCATCAACAAGCTAGAGATTCATTAGCTACTGAAAAAATAACCTTTCCCCAGCTTCTTCAAAAATGAGCCTGAGGGATTCATGTGCACTTTTATTGTGATAAAACTGATAATTGCTCTCAAGGAAGGTCATAGCTTTGTGGAAGGAGCACAGGCTTTTCCAGCTGCCACAGGCAATAGGAACTGATTCTGAGAGATGCTGTCCAAGCATTTCTGAGCACGGCAKGCAGTAAGCCACTGTTGGCTGACTGATGTAGAGATGAGGCTCCTAGATCTGTGCTCATGGTGGGCCATTAACTCAAAAGATGGAACTGGAAAAGAGAAAATGGGCTATCTCAGGCTCCAAAATACCATGAGGAGCACCYTTGTCCTTACATGTGTCTATTCAACACTGGCAACTGGTTAGAGTAGGTTTTACAATTCAAGCCAATATACTGATTCTGCCACCCACCTGGTGCTTTTCCTACTGGGAGGTTATAGAGGCTCAGTGACCTCCTTTCCACTCACCACAAAGTAACATGCTCTGAAAGTATGTTATTTTATGTTGGCCAAAGACTGTCTCTTTCTCAACAGTTTTACATTTCCAATACCAGCCATTCTATGAACGGTGGACTATTATTTATGTTTATTTTATAATCAGGTGTTACTAAATATTTATTTTAATTTCCCAAAGATGGAATAATTTTAAACTATATTTTTACAATCTTGTTATTCATGTGGTCAAGCAGATTGTCCTCAAGCTTCTGTAAAAATTAGAGTCTGTTTTTGTTTTTCTTCATCAATAAAAGGTAGATGAGGTAACCTAAGTCAAGCCTTCTATACTRTTTTTTCCCTATCATTAAATTTGGATAATATCATTGTCTTAATAATGATGAAGGGTTTAGTTCTGTTCTTATTGTTGTTTGTGGTGCTAGGGACGGAACCCAGGGCCTCCAGCGTTCTATGCAAGTGTTCTACCACCCAGCTGCAGCCCTGGTCCCCGAGGGACTCATGATGCAGGTTGGCTGGTGGAGTAGCACCTAGCAYATGGTATGGAGGACACCAGAAGGCCAAGTGCTTTTGCTCATTGTCCTCTAGGAATGATATCAAAAGTCCCAAGAAGAATGGGTTAGATTGCCTGAGCAATCAGCTGGGAAGTCCTACCTAACAGTTACCTGACTTCTCTTTGATTAACTTAGAAGTCCTGGTTTACACAGTACACCTAATACAATAATWAAAAATAATAAAAGGAAAAGGAAAGAAAATTTAGATTTTCTTTTGGTCCTCTTTGCTCATCCAGAAGCACAATAACTGAGTTTTGTCAGTTGTTTTATCTCATATTCCCCCCATTTAATAAGTTTTAAATATTGGCATTACTCAACTACTTAGCATTTCTTCTGTTTGCTTTCTTAATTGTGTCCAAAGAACTTAGAATGTGGGTGCATTTCGCAATGCATTATTTTAGAAGGAACCGGGGAGTGGTTTCTTTGAAATGTTTCCTATTGATAATTCATTCAAATTGGCAGGACACTAAAGGGGACAGAGAGGTTTCTGTGAGATTCCTGGTTTGCCTGGGCCACATGCTTTGTTTTAAGGCTTTGGCCTTCTGCTAAATGGAGCTTGGCTCTGTACTGGCATGTGCTTCCCTCTCTGCCGAATCATTCTTCCACCAAGGAGACTAGTTTTCATGTTTTTCAAAGTGAAGCTAATTAGACAGGGGCCAGATAGAGCCTTTGCTACCCTCTAAATCACTCGCCTCTCCCTGGAACCCTTTTCTGCTTGATTCACAAGACTTGACCTTATCYACAATATTAAAACATGCCAACCGAAGGATTCTCCCTCATCTGCAGTCATTTCTGGCATCTCTGCCTCTGTCTGTTCAGGACTCTGAAGAAAAATTATAATCTGGAGSTAGATCCCACAAGTTGATGCTTTTTCTGAATTACTCATCCTTTCTTTCCTTTCARTTCCCTCCAAGTTTTTAGATTCATGATAGAATTCAGAATTAATAGACACTGTASTATAATAAAGCCCAGGAAAATGTAATAAAAATTAAATTCCAACACATATAGAACCTTACCAATGTTRAACAACAAATATGTCTGAAATTTACTCTGAAGGAAGGAAAATAGTCATTTAAAAGAAAATCACAGGGAAATCTTTTATAGCTCAGAGGTTTCAATGATAAATACGTTGTCAAGTCATTAAGATAGAAGTAAGAGCAGTTATATCTTCCTGTCCCTTCATGGGCTCTGGTCCAAGG